GAAGATCAATATTCTAACCCGGACCTTCACGGGTCTATTCTGTTAAGAAGAATATTGAAATATATAACTGGAGTGAAAAGAAACGGATATAACGAGTTGTTTCCAGTGCATAAGTCCGAATCGCAGAGTTCGAATCTGGACCAGGAAACCCAATGATTGACTGCATGAGCACCGAGCCACTCTTTTGGGCATGGTGACACTATCAGCATTGTAATTACCTCATTCCATTCAGTCCTTACAACGATGGTGACTAAAAAGAATATCCGTCACACATGGGACTAGAACCCGAATTTCATATGTAATGTGACAACACAACGCTTTAACCATTTAATCACCTTTTGATAATGAAAAGGGGCGGTGGGGTAGCCTAGTGGTGCAAGCGTTGGCTCGTCACGCCATAGACCCGGGTTCGAATCCCCACATGGGTACAATGTGTGAAGCCCATTTCTGGTGTCCCCCGCCGTGATGTTGCTGGAATATTGCTAAAAGCGGCGTAAAACCAAACTCAGTCAGTCAGTCAGTGATAATGAAATACTAAAGGAATAAGTGCAGTTTCCCCGAAACAACTACTATCGTTTCATCACTACGGTAATATCATCATCATCATCGTCGTCGTCGTCGTCGTCGTCAGTGTTTAAATTGCTGTGAATCGACGTCATCGACGTGGCTATTTAGCTATTGCGACGACAAGAAACAACCAACATGTGAATACACAGTGTAAATGTTTAAAATACATTAATTTAAATGCAAATGTCAAGAATAAAAGTGAAGAGTTTTAAAACGAAAATTGGGTTACAGTCCATTAACAGATGCGCCAAACAAACAAAAGATGAAGCGGCCATTCTCTTGCCACACCAGTCTTCAGCGATCGATCCAACCGCTTAACCCTCGCGTGATGTAACGTTAGGAATAGATGATAAATATATAGTTATTCCCTCAAAATAGGCGCATTTACCCCGTAACAATAGTCCAGGGCCAGTCAAATCTCACCATGCTTAATATTTGTCCAGCAACAACAAGACCGCGACGGGATTCCGGGTGAGGACAGGTCCCGAGCAACACAGCTGTACTCGTCGTTTCGGGCGAGAGAATGGACAAGTGGTGAGGTTCTCGTCGTTTCGTCACTGGCGTGTGGCAGAATGGCATGCTCTTTCGATCAGCTGGAATATTGCTGACTATGTCATTACACAACGTATACTATCAATTTGAATTCAGTTTCTATGGTTCCCCACATGGGTACAATGTGTGAAGCCCATTTCTGGTGTCCCCCGCCGTGATATTGCTGGAATATTGCTAAAGTCAAGTCAAAGTCAAAGAGTTTATTGTATTTAAGGCCTCCGGCCCACATACAAATATACATTTGCAAATAATATACAGAATACCATATATAATAGTGGAGAGAACAAGATGACAATCTATTGTGAAATTTCGTTCTTGCGTTTTAAACTATTTAACAGTACATTTCTTAGTCTCATACTATGTTTGATAAATAATGACAGATTAAGAATTACATTATCATTTTGAGAAGACATCAAGGATGAGAAAGCTAGAACAGGAGATTTTGACAAAAACGGGTGTGGAATATATTTGCTTCTGAGAATGGAGTAGGATGGACAGACTAGCATAAAGTGGATTTCATTCTCAACTGCGGATTTACATAGCGGACAAAGTCTCCTGTTCTTATCTATGGACATTTTCCTGCCTTCATTTTATCATTAAATTTAACAAACCAAGTCTAAATTTGATAAAAATATTTCTTAAATCTTTAGAATATAAACAGACAAATATTTTTCAGACTGGAGTAAACTTTTAAATGTCCTGTAGCAGTCATACCTTGAGCTGTCGTGAAGGGTAGAATGCCAATTCTGATAGAACATATCAATGGCTTGGTGTTTAAAATTATATAAAAAGAGACTGACATTCCCAATAGTTTGGTTCATCCAAATAAAACCAAAACCATGAGAGAACAAAATGTTTACTTACGTGGGATGCCCATGTAATTTTACCGATATTGTCTAAATGTAAAAGCATATTATAAGCCAGCTTTGGAATTCTATTTTCATGCATACCAATAAGTTTTATCCAATATTTCAAGCATCTAATCTGAGAATTGATATATATTGGGTGTCTTCCACATTCGCCGTAAATCATACAGTTTGGTGTAGATAATCCAACGGATAAATATCTTTGCATGCTAAAAGGTGAAGTTTTTCTAAACAATCGTATCTTTGATAACCCCAAATATCAGATCCATATAACATTATTGGTTGTATCTGCGAATCAAAGAGTTTAAAAAATATATTAGGTGAGGTAATTCCAATTTTATATGAAACAGACATAACGTTGAATAGGGCTTTCTTTGCTCTTGATACTAAATCTTCTATGCTTTTAGAAAAAAAGTTCATTGTATGGGTAAACAGAAGACCAAGATATTTATAATGACTATTAATCTTAAGGTGTATCCCATTTAATACCCACGTTTCATTTACGGATAACGGACCGCCCCTTCTGAAAATGACAATATTTGTTTTGTCGTAATTAACCGATAACTTCCATTCTTTTGTGTAACGTCCCAAGATATTAAGTTGATTTTGTAGTCCTACAATAGTGTCTGAAACTAAAATGACATCATCAGCAAAAAGTAACATTAGTATTTCAATCATATCTGGGAACATCTGAATACCATGTTTTTCCATTTTAGCAATATCGTAATACACCAATTCATTAATGAAAATGAAAATAACATTGGGCTTAAAAATACATCCTTGTCTTAGTCCGACTGGACAATCAAAATAATCTGTAAAATCATCACCACATCGCACACATGATTTTATATTAGAATACATAGACCTTAAAACAGAATACATTTTCCCTCGTAATCCGGTCTTTAGCAGACAATACATAATTTAGAACGATCAACAGAATCAAAAGCTTTTTAAAATCGACGAACGCTACATACAATTTGTGTTTTCGGCGTGAAAGACGTTTTGAATTATTGCATTTAATGTAAAGATGTGATCTGAAGTAGAATAGTTTTTCGAAAACCGGCCTGAGTTTCTGGGATTAAGTCCCGCATATTTGCCCAATTTGTTATTCTATTATTTAATACAGTTGAATATTTTGCCCAGAATACTCATAAGTGAGATGCCTCTATAGTTGTCAGGATCATCAAATTTCCCCTTCTTATGAAGAGGAACAATAATTGAAGAAGACCAGCTAGTTGGAAACATACCATTATCAAATAGTCTATTGAAACATTTTATAAGAAATGGCATGATTACGAATTCCGAACATTTTATCATTTCTATGATGATATGATCAGGACCCGCCGTTTTCCCGTTTTTTAAATGTGATATAGCATTGGATATTTCATTTTCTGATATTGGTGATTCTAGAATAAATTTATCCTAAAAGCGGCGTAAAACTAAACTCAGTCAGTCAGTTTCTATGGTTTTGTTTGTTTGTTTGTACTCAGTAATATTCCAGCTGTATGAGGGGCGGTAGGTAGCCTAGTGGGTCATGCGTTCGCTTGTCACGCTAAATACTCGGGTTCGATTCCCCACATGGGTACAAAATGTTGCGGATTTCTGGTGTCTCCAGATATTGCTGGAATATTGTCGCGACGGCTGTAAAACATCAAGTCGCGACCAGACAATACAGTGATCGACGTCATGATCAACACAGTCGTACACGATGCCATGCAATTAACACAGTCAGGGGCCTGACCACCCGATCCACTTAATCTCCTTTACACCTCAAACAGGTGCAGGGACCGTACCCGGGCACCCCACAGCGCCGTTGTTGAAGTTATGGCAACGAGGCGTCGTAGCTGTTACGTAACACAGATACGACAGAAGATGATCGTCCGCAATGTATTGATGTATAACAGCTGGGTTGTGTTGTCGGGAGTGTTTGATAATAGCAAATGTGAATCCGTTCATAGTGAAGACTGACCTGTGCGTTCGATCGGTTATTGATCTATACTGTGATGACCAACATGAGTACACGGGACATGGAGATCGGATATCGTTGTTATTTGTAGTATTAACAGTGGTATTACTACGTAATCGTCATGACTATGATTAATATTTGTTATAATCCTTACAAAAGTGTGATTTTTGATATTATTGATAATCTTACACAAGTGTGATCATGACTGCCATCATCATCATCATCATCATCATCATCGTCATTATCATCACCATCATCTTCAGGAATAATCATGCAAATATCCACTGGCATCAACGTTCTCTCTCCTCCTCATCATCACCATGCACATCATCATCAGGTATAATCATCTCAATATAATGGCGTTAACTCTCTCCCTGATAAAACACGAAACGCGTTAACATCGATCGTCTCAGTGTCTCACTCATCGTTTATACTCACTTTGACAGGCATCTGATAATTCATTCATAATACATGTATTTGAAAAGAAAAAAACCCTGGGTATTTTGAAAATCATTCATTTAGAATATATAGTGTAGGTGTACTACTCCATTGCAGTAGTTTTCATATTCTAGTTCATGTAAAATATAGTTGATTCAACATTATTATCCAAGCTTGAGCATAGATGATTTCTTCTTTAAGCAGATTTAAAATCAACGCTTGAATTATGAAAAAACGTACAAACGTTTAAAATTTCACTTAATATGTATTTCAATCATGTGCCGCGACTTTAACATTCATGGTTTAACGCCTCTGCCGAGAATATTGTCGCATCCACGTGACGGAACGAAATATCTGGTATTCATGATATAAGAAGTTTTTTAAATAGTAAAAAACATTCATCACAGACGTCATTATGCAACGTAACATGCGTTACATAACTGTCTTCGTTTCCATAAAGATCTGAAATAAACAATCTGCATATATTATACATGTACCTCCACACACATTCACATTTCAGTAAGTTATGTTATTGTCTACATCTGAGAATATAACTCACCGCAGATATATGTGAAGTTGAATATCGGGTCTAAATATCGTGACAGGCTTACCTTGTTTGTGAAGAGTAAACATATCCGAGCGATTCCTCCGAATAGAGACACACAATGTCACCGATACTTAAAGTATCGTCCATATTGATGAATTATCTCGCTTATTTCGAGATTCTCTTGCTAAATGCACATACTCCTTTAAAACAAAAAGAAAATCAACACCCTTACTCCTGTGCTGGGGTATGGGGACTGTCTAACTGAGCTCGGTTAAGCGCATTGTGACGGATTTCCTTAATGCTATATTTGTTGTAGATACGACAAGCATGTGCTCGTTGAGACTACCCCCGAATGTATGAAAACAGAACGTAACGCGCTCACGCTTGGTGTGATCGTATTGGTGTGACAACTAGCTATACTCATAAATTATTACCGACGCACTCAGACGTTGCTCTTTCGTGATCGATATCTACAAATCATTTTAGGCTGGTTAAAATGTTGTTTTTTTTCGAGATTTGTGAAGCGAAATCCAAGTAAATTAATAGTGTCGCAATGTCAACAACATCATGAGACGTGTTATGATGCGAGATGTCTAACGATGGTTTATATTTGTATGTCTTTTCAAGATCAAGAGATCGACGCAAGAAATGTATTTAAAAGGATGTCGTTATAGTGATTAAAGTTTCAATAATCATATGCTTTACTGTGTTCAAGATTAATTCGTCATAGTATGAACTAAGAATCTATTAAAATTACATTCCTGGATTGCGTGTATAACTCTGCGTGCCGGAATATTGCAGTTATGTGACGGCGGTCAGTAAATACTAGTAATCGATTCAAGACCAGGCAATCCGGTGATTGACATCATGAGTAATGGGGATATGATGACATTCAACCAACCATGTCAGCAAGCCTGACCACCCAATCCCCCCAATACCGCATCTACCCCTTATCTTCGCGAGTCTCCGGCCGATATGAACGTTGGCCACAGACAAATCCTTCTTGACATGTTTCACTGATGTTGACAACCTCGCTCTTCTCGCACTCCGGATTATTCGAATGATGTTCGCTAAATCAAAACTTTGGATCAGGCATAATATATGACAATGTACACATTGAAAGGAAACGAATCTATATTCAGTCTTTTTTGTGATAAAGGTAAGGTTATGATTGTTGATAACAATAATAATAATATTAATGCATGCTTCCGCTTATAAGAACCGGGACGTTGGTGTAGCCTACTGGTTAAAGCGTTGGCTCGTCACGCCGAAGACCTGGGTTCGATTCTCCACATGGGTACATTGTGTGAAGCCCACTTCTGCTGTCCCCCGCCGGGATATTGCTGGAATATTGCTAAAAGCGGCGTAAAACCAAACTCACTCTTTTCAGAACCATCCTCATCGCCGTTTGTCGTAATTACATGACACAACGATAAATGGTTTAACGAATTCTTAAAGACAAACATTCTGAACGTTTTAATGTGAAGGGCACGACTGATTACTTAGATGTTCACTAAGTACCTATGAATAATTCAATAGTTCTCAAACAACGAAATAATTGTCCATAAGATAAACGTAAGCACTGTTGTTAGTTGCGAGGGAACTCGTACACACACATGGCTGAAGGGATCAGGGTCTTGCGAACGGCATTATGTTGTCATGGAGTCAGTCACATGATCTATCAATCGGCACAGAGAAGCGTGTACATTAAAACCTCTGAACCGTAACGGGTTTTGCCGGATCAACATCCTAGTCATTGTCCTTCCCTCAGTTACCTCCCTTGACTAAACAGTTTCGCACAATGGATATGCACGATTTGCTCAGTTCAAGACTCATGAGACTGAAATTCTAAGTTCTTTTTCTTCATGCTCAGGGCTCAGTTAATAATACTAGGTGATTTATGTTTGAATTTGTATATTTTTTATATTTTTTATAACGACTGTAAGTACGAAAGCTGAGAATAGCCGCAGCGACAAGAAAGATCGGATAGGTTCTGAAGGAGTTAAACTGGATCTTGTCACGGGTGATTGACGATTCATAATAACAGTCGACAGCGTGGGTTTTACATGGCTACCACACAGTGGGAGCACACAAGTGTTGGGACATGGTTGCACAATAACTAGACGGAGTGGAGTTAATTAAAAGGCCAACACTGCCGCTCATTATTGTCAAAGTGACGACATTGTTTGGTTGTTGGTTGGTTGTTTAATGCATACTCAGCAATATTCCGGCGGAGTGAGTGAGTTTAGGTTTACGCCGCTTTTAGCAATATACAGCAATATCATGACAGGGGACACCAGAAATGGGCTTCACACATTGTACCCATGTGGGGAATCAAACCCGGGTTTTCGGCGTGACGAGAGAACACTTTAACCACTGGGCTACCCCACCACCTCGACGACTGTATGTAAATAATCGAGTCTAGACCAGACAATCCAGTGACTGACATTATGAGCAAAGTGGATATGATGACATTCAACCAAGTCAGCGAGCTTGACCACCCGATCCCGTAAATCAGACCAGTTCTACCTCGTAGCTTCGCCGGTCTCAAGTCCATATAAATGTTGGCCACAAAAGAATCCTTATTATGTAGTGGTTGACATCATAGGCACCGATCTGCGCAAATGGGACAATATGAGAGAGTGAGTGAGTGATTTCGGTTTCACGCCGCACTCAGCAATATTCGAGCTATATGGCGTCGGTTTGAAAATAATCGAGTGATTAACATCTAGCAATTGGGATACGATGACACGTGTCAGCGGGCCTGACCACCTGATCCTGTTAGTCGCCTCTTACGACAAGCTGGGTTACTGAAGATCAATTCTAACCCGGATCTTCACGGGTCGGGTCAATATGACATGCCGGGTGCGACATTAAACAACAAACCAACAACCAATCAGGTTGACACTGGTCTGTTGTCCATTTCGATGTTCTCAGACACGACCCCCAAAGTGAACTGCGACTCGTCTGAAAACAGGACACGTGACAGTGACGAGTTTTTACGCTGCGTCCGCCGAAAAATCTGTAAACAATGTGACGATTTGCACAGGGTGGCAAAATTAGTGACCGTATGTATGTAGATGACTCGTTACTTGTACTCTTGTAACCTCATGAAAGTTGGCAGCAATTTGATTCGCGAACTCGATTTTGTAGCGACTGGTTTCCGATCAATCATATGTGCGCTCTTTTGGTTAACAATGGGCACCTAAAGTGGATCAATCATCACCATTTTGGGTTTGTTGGTACCTGTTCCAGAATCTATCAATCATAGAAACAATAAGTCTATTAAACATTGACCACTGCACGCTCACTTTGGCTTGTGAATTGATCGTAGACGCTCCACGTACACGCTTCATCGCATACAAACAATAAATGAAGTCAAGTAAATCACAGCTTTGTGATAATGAGAAACAATACGATTAACAGGAAATAGGGCACGTAAGTAGGTCACGACACTTCGCGAGACCTTAGTACTTCCGGTGACAAAGTACTTCATACCTTTTCGAATGGTCTCATGGTTTTCAGTGGCGATAAGGAATAACAAATTTCCGATCTAACCATCCCCAAATTAGCCAACTTTTACGACTGTCAACAGCTGTGACAGCCAAGCATGGTTGTACACTTGGTCCGGTCTAGTAAAGTCATATTTGGCGTTCGCGCAATTTGGAAGCAGACCTAGTTCTTGGATATACGCCTGTCACCGAAAATCTGGTACCGGAAGTAAGCTGGGCCCCGTCTCGCATCTCGCAAGTTGGCGCGTGCAAAGGTTACCAGATATAAATCTTTGAACCGGGAACCAGCTTAGTAAAGTTCTTAGATTTGGTTTTGACATTTATATTTTATGAACTCCTACCTGTTTGCAGGATATAACGTGTACAAATCGGTCGCAAGTGCCCACGAGCACGAATCTGATTGGTCCCTCTGTTACGTTTTATCATTCAGCACATACGGTTTTGTTTGTCGTTTAAAACGCCGATTCGTCACGATTCCAGCTTTATGACGGCTCTCCGTAAACTATTGTGTCTGGACAACACAATCCAGTGATTGGCACCATGAGCATCGATGCACACACGTAACTGATGGGTCAGTGTAACAGTGTAGGGTAGCTCGCGCAGCGCAACTAGGGAATGGAACCAGTGTACAGGGGTTGAGTGAGTGAGTGAGTTTAGTTTTACGCCGGACTCAATATTCCAGCTATATGGCGGTGGTCTGTAAATAATCGAGTCTTACACCATGCAATCCAGTGACCACCAGCATGAGCATTGATCTACGCAATTGGGAACCGATGACATGTGTCAACCAAGTCTGCGAGCCTGACCACCCGATCCCGTTAGTCGCCTCTCGCGACAATCACGGGTTGCTGAAGATCAATCTAACCCGGATCTTCACGGGTGATGCCGGGGTAGATCGAGGAACGTCCATGTTAGACTAAGACCGAGTACAAAACGTTACTTGTAAGATTCGTGAAAACATAATTTACATAAAACAAATGCTTATTGGACGGCAGCTGACATTTACAATTCAAATCTGGATGACCACTTTGGACTGAGGAACTAAACAAACTATACCCCTCAGTTGATTTTATCATATATTTGATTTTCAATTGAAAATTAAAAAAATTAACATTTCTTCACGGACGATAAGCATGGATTGCTGAAGAGCTGTTCTATCCCGAATCTTCATGGTTTACGAGCATGAGTTACTGACGATGTAGTCTACCCCGGATCTTCACGGACACAGCACCAATACTTCGGCATGGTTATATTTTTCTAATATATTGACTTATGTATTGATAATAAACTTTATTTTTTATATTCGGATGTCACATAACTGCTGTTAAATATCCCAGATATCATATCTTGGAAAATCAAAAATTAACTTTCTTCTGCACAAGCAAAAGGGGTTAGGTGGTTGAAAATTGAATTTCTTAAATGGTGTTAATTGAACCTGTTACTTTATATACAACATTACCAAGCCAGATGTTACTTTTCACAAAGTGTTCCACGAATAAGTGATGGTTAAATAGTTATAACTGCAACACTTAATGTAATTTACATAAAAATGTTCACCTCTCCTCCTCCCCCAAACAGAAAAGAAAGAAATGTTTTCTTTGTTTTGATCCTTACTGGTTAAGTCAAATTAGAGGAGTCACAAACATTGATCACGTCGCTTCATGATGAAGCACCATGGGCCTATTCAACATGTGATAGAATTGGTATTGCCCTGGAGCACCTTGTCTAACCCAAGCTCTAGGCTAAATGTGACACCCGATCCCTGCGTCTCTGGACCAAAGACCCCGAATCGGCTTAGTTATTAGTATGAACAACAGTTGTTAATGACTAGTGACCTAGTTCCTCGGGTCGTTCCGGTTGGCTGACGGTTAATGTACAATACAACGGGGATGGGGATTAACCATGGGATTAGCGTCTTATAAGTAATTTCAGTCAAGTGACTTTTAGGCATATACACGAGGTGGCTACATTGTAAGATGCCTTTGCAAATGGATGTCGGTCGCTATGGCAACTGGCATCTTTCCTAATTCATAATTGAAAAACGCCTTAAGAACCCGCGCTTGATCTCTCAGAAGGTGAACTTGAAGCAGGATTCCAAATCAAACTCCGTTGAGACCCGGGGTTGAATGTGTCCCTAGTACATCATTGGTTGTAGTAAGAGGTGATTTAATTAGGAACCCGTGGATATCTTCGGGTTAGAATTGGACCAAAAAAACCTGTGCTGGTTGCTAGGGGCGACTAAATGAATCGGCTGGTCAGGTTCCGTCACTCAGTCGATTCCGTGAATACTCAAATGTTCTCAGAACCGAATTGATATTTTACCGGCGTTTCTATTAGTATACCGCCCGAGCCATGGAAATATCGTAAACGGTTGAGGACCTCATTGAAGAATTTGTAAACTTGTATCTATGTATTACTTCTGCTTGCCAGCTTGACCTGGCAAAAAGTCGGAAGCGATGCAGGTCCTGACGATTGAGACTTCTGTGAAATCCTCAAGCAGGGGCATGGTGTTGACAAACATAATCAGACTGTACCCAGATTCGAACCCATTATCCCAGGTTTCTGCTATACCCAAAGGAAACAACTCAACACAGCGAATTCCGGAGCCTTATCTGATTGAGCCAAAAGTGTCCGCTCTGAATATCGACTTGCAGTTCTGCCTATTCACGTGTTTGAACTGGAACGGTTAACGCCATCAAAGAATATACTAACACCAAAGATAAAAACGGAGAGAAGAAACTAAGTCAACTTTCAAGCGTCGCAGCTCTGTACATAAATCCGTTTCCGACAGTTTGGGTGACCTTTCTTTGAAGAATACTTCTCTGGCTCCGCTCTGTTTGTCTATAAACTCGGTTATTTGCTGTTCTTCCAATTTCTGTTTAGTAATCACAATAGTTTTTGCACGTAATAAGAACAGTTTTCAAGGAAGCTAAGGATAAATCTGTCAAAAGAATACAGAAGCAAGTACAAAAGGCACTTGAAAAAACAAATATCTAAACTTTCAATCAATGTTGGCGAAGGTAATATACAAGCTGTGTTTTCTCTCTACTAATGTTCTAGGGATTGCATTTGAGTTCCGGGAAAAAGGCTCAAATATCATACTTGAAAGAACTTCAGAACCTCAGATGCTTTTTTTCATTTAGGAATCATGCACTTCAGTTAATTAGAGCAATATGTAAATATGTAACGTTTCACAAAGGTTAAACATTATTCGATGAAATCAGTTACAGATTTAGCTCACTCAAATACTAATGTAAATCTGTGCCCGACGAGGCGACAGCTGCGGTGGCCTGGTGGTTACAGCCTCTGCCTGAAGAGATACGTGGTTCGATCCCCGGCCGCATGACACAAATGGATTCTAGGAGATGGTGCTTGCTACGCACTTGGCATTATCGGGAGGGACGGTTCGGAGTATATTGTGACCGAGTTGAATTTGCATGCCGATGACTTTATTTCAGGAATCACAAATTAGGTAGGAAAATTACATTTGTAAATTGTCACGTAAGTTAGAATCAACTGCTTCATATTATTGTGTTTATCAATTAAACCACGATACGGTACAGAGGTACGTATACATCTATATTGAACATATATTGGGTTTACAATGCACCCAGTCACTGCTGCCCACGTACGACGTGCATGACGTCCATGTGGACGCGGAGACTCACATATGCTTGACAAGGACATTGCACATTGCATTTTATTAAAACAAAATATACACAATGTTTTGACACAACCTTTGTGAAGTAATACAGGTAGATGCAGAAACAATATTGCAAGGCACATTTCTGTGTACAGTCTTCGAAAAGTGTAATGTCTAAGACATTGCGATTCATGCGCATGCGCAGATGGTATTTCTGGTCAAATGTAAATCTGGCCAGTGTTTGGTAGGGGCGCTGGGCGGACCTTCGATGTGATGTGATGCATAACAGTGAACTCTGACTTTGATTCAGTATCAATTATCTTACAATTCATATCAGGATTACATATATACACATACTGAGTCAAACATACAGAGTCATGTAATAATTTCACAATCAATGATGACCAAAAGAAACATTAACACACGATCCTAGCACTACATGCTATTGCATTTTCATGTAAATACTGTTCCTAATATTTCATCCCGAATACACGCAATGCCAAACTCACAACCTTACAAATACAGATTGGAAACATGCATGCATGTACATGTGCATGTGCACATTAGCCTCACTTCAAGCCTGGGGCAGTCGTACAGTGTCATGATAAATATACTGACGTAAAAAAAGAAAGTATACACCCGGTGCTTTGTGTAAGTCACAATCATATACTTTTAAAATTATTTACGTTTTTTCGTTTCATAATCTCCAAACACCAGTCGTGAACTTTTTTTATATGTCAGTATATATGGTGCATAATTGCTTAAAAATCCTAACATGCTCAGGATTGATTTTTAAAAATAGTCCAATAGCACCGCAGCTCATCTGAAAACGTAGTCAACAGTTTAAAATGGTAACGCCATTGACATTCAAACACATGTATTTTCTGTACTGATGCTGATGACTAAAATTTTAAGATTTGAAGAAAATATATCATTATAAGAAGAAATCCGCATTGCAGAAAGTTACTCAGATGTAAACTTGCACTCTCAGAATATATAAAAGCGTGGCCAAGACGCTTAAGAAATCACATCTACGTAAACTAACAAAATTACAAATGTCATTTGACCTTGAAGGCATCGCTTCGAAGCACGAGGCAGCTAACGGAAACAATAACAGTGATTACCGTTAGTTTGCTGGACAGAGCGCACATACTGTGTGTTTTTCAGGGAACTCAGTAATGCTCGCAATAATTGCAGAAGTTATCTTTCCTTCCTCGAACTCCGGAACAGAGCTACAGATACCTTTTGGGTCATTGAGTTATGTACGCGCTTGTGTTCATCTCAATTGGGTATCCTACTTTTCCTTTGAGTAACAAAATAAATTGTACTCACTTCACTCAAACTCAATTGGGTATTTTGCCATTTTCCATTAATTTTAAAAATATAACAAAGTTTAAATGTAAGTGTTTGTTATTTATATTTGATCTGTAATATGAGAAACTATAAGAAAGACTGCAAGTTGTCACGTTCATGTCCTGAAATACAACCTCTCAATATACCTCAGTTATTTTATCTAACCCCCGGTACGCAAGCTAAGATTTGACATTTTTGTGTGTACGCATGTAAGATCACATTTAATGAGTATTTACAAAAATTCAAGCGTACGTGTACGCAATAGACTTAATAGGAATTGAGTTTTCAAATAAACATTTGCGTAATTTACGCAGATACGCAGCTTATCTGTACCTCTGCCGGAATATCCCGAAATGACACGAGTTGTCACGCAAAACCCGCAAGCGCACACCATTGTAACCGGTCTGTAGGCTCGCCTACACAACACATGCTTCCGTGGTGTATCCGACATGGAACTGGTATCCAGACGACAGAAAGGAAAGGAAACATTTCTTGGTGATATAACCCGGTCGTTTTCTCATGAGCTTCTGAAAAGGTCACAAGTCGCATTCACCAGCCAATGCTCACTTACATAAATTCTTCTTGAAATCTTAAATCAGTCAGATGTATATACATATCTTAGTTGTTTCAGAAGATTGATCTCCAAAAGTACTGGAACACCATATATCTCCTGCAAGTATTAAACAAACACATTCACAGCTGATGTAAGTCTGATTATATACCTTCAGATGTTTCTTGTCAAATCAAACCTCTGTAAGTAGTGACGTGTGGGTTATTTGGATGCACCTTTAAATAGCACAAAAGATCCCAAAACAGTGGTATCTGGATGTGTGCCTGAACTACTCACATGACATCACACTCGGAACCACTCGTTTTCTTCCGTCATGTTGATTAGCGCTGGCGCTGGCGTAGATATAACGCATATGACCTCGTAAAACGATGGCTGCTTTATAAAAGGTCATACATTTGTTGTATGCTTTGATTTGGAGGATAAACAAAGGAAGTTTTTAAACACAGGCCACGATCCCTGGAAGATTCTGTTGTGTCATGTGATAGTCACGTGACTGGAAGCTGTTCCAATGAGGAGTCATCCCAGTGCTGGCTGAGATGTCCTGGAGGACGGAAGCGATCATGTCAGGAAGTTGACTGCGAAAAGAACATACAAAACGAGGAAGACGACAAATAGGATCCGGTCAAAGACGAGCGCAAGCTCCACCCAGTCCTGGCGTACATTTCTTGACGTCACTTCCGCTGACTGCTTGCCCACCAAGTAGTGCAAACATTTCCTGATATCGTCCATGTCAGACACTGCTTCCGGTTGCGCAGAACTCTCCGGGTCTAAAGATGGCTGCGTGGTTCTTTCCGGTGTGCACAGGCTCTTGAGGCTGACGGAGTACACGTTGTCGACGGGCTCGTAGTTGTCGATGCAGAAGAACCGCCGGAACCCATATCGACTGAGGCACAGCTGAAAGTGCAAGATGAATATTATGAGACACTACGTATTTTAGGAGCAACGGTAGACTAGACTAATCTCACATAAAGTGTGAGTCTGAAAGATGCAATACAGGGCATCACCATTTATACCCATGGACAAGACAACCAGCATCCACAACGAGGCATTATATAATTTTGTTTGTAAAACCTGAGCCAGATTATTTCAATCCGTGTCCCAGCCTCCTCCCTCCTATTGACTGTCCCTTAACCTGCTAAATAATGAGTAGGCCATTGATACTCATACATTCGAAAACTTAACACGGATGATATATATAGCCTCTCGTATACATTATAGGTTTCTCATCTCAAATCTCAACCCGTAAGTGAGCACACGGGCGAAAAAGCAAAAAAAACCCAGATAGATAGATAGATCAGTCTGACCCGAGTTTTAAGAGAGTATAAAGGCAAAAATACATTTTGTATTCGATAAATATCCGCAACGAGGGGTAAAACTGAATTTAGAAAAAAGTAAAAAAAATCACAGAAAAAATACGGACAGTCAAATATATTCTGAACCCAAAATATTGTATAGTTTTATTTTGTTTCATTCTATTTAACCACAGATCAAGGAGGCTGTGCCACTCTTTTCAAGTCATAAGCATTATAGCAATCATGTGGTTGAACATCCAATACCTGAATTAAAGATTCATTGCATTAGATGTACTCGAGAGTGTATTGGGATATCAAATCAAATCTGATAATTGTGATGTCAGGCGTAAAATGATACACAATAATCACAATTTGGAGTTAAAGTACGCGAGTGTATTGTAATTTTAATATAGCAGAGGAAAGAAGAAAAATATACTCTCCCAAATCACTTTCTAATGTCTTATGCCCATGTCATTAAAAACCTTTCTAATACATAATCAATAAAATAATGTTCTGAATCTAAAATAGGGAATACCTATGTTGATAGATCTATTCTTATACAGAGATTATATTAAGTGAACTGTATATGAAGTCTTTGAGTATCAGTGTAATATTCCACAAGTTCAGGGTGACCTTCACCCTTCTTCATTGTCCTCACCCATTTGAGCCATCCAGGAAGAGGCTTGTGTCGTACACCTGACTGACCCATGTTGCTGACAAATATGGACAGCATCACGCTGCACGCACACAGAGCCATGGTGCCCAGGTAGAAATATCCTGCAATGACGAAACATAGGAAGCTCTGAATCTCATCTGAAACGTTCGAAAAGCCGACATAAAATCACGTGAAGACGGTGTTAATGCAGGGATGCACATTATCCTGAACTGAATGTCATAAGTTTATTTCCGAGATACAGAAATACGATGTGCTGATCGAATGCTTCGCTCACTAATGCCGAGACATTCGTCACAACTCGCCCCTTTCCGTAAACGCCAAGGACACGAGTGGGTATTCGGCTTGTCCCGGAATGACACGAGTTTGTCACGAACATATACCGAGAATGAACAAGGTTTGTCTGATTGGCTGGATGTTCAACTACCGCGACGGCCATTGAAGTGAGATCTTCACACAGAACGACATGGGGCAGTTCCAAAACATTTGATCTGAACGGGATTGTTAGAATGAAGAGCGACCTAGTTAAAATTACAAGTGTTTAGGTGAGTGAGTTTGTAGCAGCAGTTATATTAAAAGCAAAGTTGGACCAGATGGAGGGCAATTTGCGCCTTGGTTCATGACAGTTTTTAACAGTTTGACAGAGAAACGTCCGTAAAATAATAGATGAATTAATAATATACACAATACCATACCGACTGGAGAACTGAACTCACATTAAATATGAGAGAACGTTGGGGCGACTTGGACCAGACGTAAAGTCTATTTACGCCCACCCGAGAACGTTATTCTATCTAATGGCTGTATCCCTTTCATCTTACCAGGGAGACTATATGTCAATGCCCATGCCATTCCACACATGCAATAAGATATCTGAATAAGTTACTAATGCAAAAAAATGTCTCAAAGTAGATTTTTAAAAAAAAGGACAGCTGATGTTAACACATGTGTTCTACCGATAGTTTTGCGTTCTTTAACATGTTTGGGGAGGGATGGCCGTGGTGTATCATTTATTCTTTCATTCATTCACATATGTATTTCTTTCTTTTGTTCTTTTTCTTTTTCTTTATTTCTTTCATTCATTCACATATAATTCTTGCTCTTAATTAATTACATTCATTCATTGTAAAATTCCGACTGACACAATACACTGGCTGAAGTACTGTTAAACGCAGCCGAAGTTGCACTGGGAACGAACCAAGTCACTGTGTGCGTTGGAGCATGACGAGGCATTAGTACAAACGCTAATTAGTACAAATGGTAAAGAAAGCAAGCGAGTGGCCTATCCCTGTTGTAGAGTATTCCTGATCTTACACTGTTCTTCTATTAAAGCACTCATAAGAGATCAGAATCCCTCGCCATCAAGTACTGGACCGAATGTAACCAGGAGGCCAACTCACCGATTTTCGGGACGTTGTTGTGGCTGAAGGGAATGGCCTCCTCCAGAGCGAGAATCAGCACCGTCAGGCCAAGCATTATCAGCATACCTGAAACATCAAACATCGTCTATAGCGGCTGCCTGTGGTTATAGCATCATGTGAATATTTGCTTCTTTACCGTACAAATCATACAGCAAACGTAAGACTATCGAACATCTTCAGATGTACCGTGAATGTATGACCTGGGTTAGAATTGATCTTCAGTAACCCATGCTTGTCGTAAGAGGCGACTAACGGGATCGGGTGGTCAGACTCGCTGACTTGGTTGACACATGTCATCGGTTCCCAACTGCGTAGATCAATGCTCATGCTGTTGATGACTGGATTGTCTGGTCCAGACTCGATTATTTACAGACCGCCGCCATATAGCTGGAATATTGCTGTGCGCGGCGTTAAACACCAACCAAACAATCAATCAACTTAATTCAGTGTTTGTGCCTGTTGATAAACGCCTCACACAAAATATATATCTCAGCTATATCGCCTCGAGGTGTTAATATGCAAGTATATAATATAGAGTTTGATGTCATGACCATCGATACACAACAGAAGCAATCACTTTTGTCATCGAATTTGTCCACCTGATCTATTAAATCGATTCTTGCGATCAGCACTGGGTATATAGCATATTCTAACATGAATTCCCAACACTACAAAAACGCGTGTGAAGCTTCCCATTGTTGACACATGATGGCATTTGCCCAATATTGTGTAAATGTTTGGTATCAACAAAAGCGAAAGGAGTTAAATTTCGATTTATTTAACATACATATTTAACAACAACACATTTACTTGAGCCCTGTTGACAAGGCATCTCCGTGTGCGAACGACGTGTTGTCAATGATTACAATGTAATCCAGTAAGACCTTTTATGTCAGTAGAGATAACTAACGAGTTTTCTACCCCGCCGACCTGGAAGTATCAGTAGAACTCACCATAAGTTATCTCCCCCCCTGACCTCGAAGTATCAGCAGGCCTCACCACAGATGTTCTACCCCTCTGACCTGGAAGTACCAGAACTCACCATACGTTGTCTAACCCTCTGCTCTAGAAGTACCAGTAGAACTCACCATAAGTTGTCTTCCCCTCTGACCTGGAAGTACCAGTAGAACTCACCATGAGTTGTCTTCCCCTCTGACCTGGAAGTACCAGAACTCACCATACGTTGTCTAACCCTCTGCTCTAGAAGTACCAGTAGAACTAACCATAAGTTGTCTTCCCCTCTGACCTGGAAGTACCAGTAGAACTCACCATGAGTTGTCTTCCCCTCTAACCTGGAAGTACCAGCATAACTCACAATACGTTGTCTAACCCTCTGCTCTAGAAGTACCAGCATAACTCACCATGAGTTGTCTTCCCCTCTGACCTGGAAGTACGAGCATAACTCACCATACGTTGTCTTCCCCTTTGACCTGGAAGTACCAGCATAACTCACCATGAGTTGTCTTCCCCTCTGACCTGGAAGTACCAGCATAACTCACAATACGTTGTCTAACCCTCTGCTCTAGAAGTACCAGCATAACTCACCATACGTTGTCTTCCCCTTTGATCTGGAAGTACCAGAACTCACCATACGTTGTCTTCCCCTCTGACCTGGAAGTACCAGAACTCACCATAAGTTGTTTAACCCTCTGCTCTAGAAGTACCAGCATAACTCACCATGAGTTGTGTTCCCCTCTGACCTGGAAGTACCAGCATAACTCACCATACGTTGTCTTCCCCTTTGACCTGGAAGTACCAGTAGAACTCACCATAAGTTGTTTTCCCTCTGACCTGGAAGTACCAGAACTCACCATACGTTGTCTATCCCTCTGCTCTAGAAGTACCAGTAGAACTCACCATGAGTTGTCTTCCCCTCTGACCTGGAAGTACCAGAACTCACCATACGTTGTCTTCCCCTCTGACCTGGAAGTACCAGCATAACTCACCATAAGTTGTCTTCCCCTCTGACCTGGAAGTACCAGCATAACTCACCATAAGTTGTCTTCCCCTCTGACCTGGAAGTACCAGCATAACTCACCATAAGTTGTCTTCCCCTCTGACCTGGAAGTATCAGCATAACTCACCATAAGTTGTCTTCCCCTCTGACCTGGAAGTACCAGTAGAACTCACCATAAGTTGTCTTCCCCTCTGACCTGGAAGTACCAGCATAACTCACCATACGTTGTCTTCCCCTTTGACCTGGATGTACCAGTAGAACTCACCATAAGTTGTTTTCCCTCTGACCTGGAAGTACCAGAACTCACCATACTTTGTCTATCCATCTGCTCTAGAAGTACCAGTAGAACTCACCATGAGTTGTCTTCCCCTCTGACCTGGAAGTACCAGAACTAACCATACGTTGTCTTCCCCTCTGACCTGGAAGTACCAGCATAACTCACCATAAGTTGTCTTCCCCTCTGACCTGGAAGTACCAGCATAACTCACCATAAGTTGTCTTCCCCTCTGACCTGGAAGTACCAGCATAACTCACCATAAGTTGTCTTCCCCTCTGACCTGGAAGTACCAGCATAACTCACCATAAGTTGTCTTCCTCTGACCTGGAAGTACCAGCATAACTCACCATAAGTTGTCTTCCCCTCTGACCTGGAAGTACCAGCATAACTCACCATAAGTTGTCTTCCCCTCTGACCTGGAAGTACCAGTAGAACTCACCATAAGTTGTCTTCCCCTCTGACCTGGAAGTACCAGTAGAACTCACCATAAGTTGTCTTCCCCTCTGACCTGGAAGTACCAGCATAACTCACCATAAGTTGTCTTCCCCTCTGACCTGGAAGTACCAGCATAACTCACCATAAGTTGTCTTCCCCTCTGACCTGGATGGGATGAGGAACAGCAAGGGCACCAGGAGCCCAAACACAGCGGCAGGTCCTACAGCAAGGAATCGGTAGAACGTCGACCTCCGGCTGATCTGCACCTTCACAGTCAGCGTCTCATAGGAGTCTTCACAACAGGCGTACTTGACAGCCTTGATGCTGGCCACAGCTTTGATAAGTTCCCACGTAGGGTGAGAAGGTGAGTTGAAGTCCGTGCCGGACAAGGCGAGGTCCTTGTCAAGGTTTGAGCTTTCCGTGAACGACAACGTCATCTCTGCGTTTGAGTGCACCCACGAACCCAGGACTATGGGGCAGTGCTGAGTGTCAAAGGGAAAGTTACTGACGTCCATTGGGCATTTGCTGGCGATTGTCCAAAGGGGGACCCAAAAGACGCTGCCGTCGCTGAGCACGTGGGCAATCTCGTCATAACGAGTCTGGCGTCCATACATTCCTGCTCTGGAGAATAAAAGAAAGATCGTGTCAAAATAAAACCGTCTTCAAGCAGCTGTCAAGAAATACCATCGGGTTTACTTTACTTGGTTACGTCTGAGGGTTTGTCAGCACTATACCCCTGCTTGCGGGTGCCACCAACGTGATCAACATCCCTTCGGGTTTTCTCCCATATTAGGTTGAAAAAACCCTGTTCAAGCGGCATTACCCACTGACCCACTTTATTGAGTCTATCTGCGACCATCTGTTCTGATTCGAACCCGTGAAGATCCGGGTTAGAATTGGTCTACAGTAACCCATGCTTGTCGTAAGAGGTGACTAACGGGATTGGGTGGTCAGGCTCGCTGACTTGGTTGACAAATGTCATCGCATCCCAACTGCGTAGATCGATGCTCATTCTGTTGATCACTGAATTGACTCGATTATTTACAGACCGCCGCCATATAGCTGAAAAACTAAACTCACTCCCTCACTGTTCTGATTCGAAACACTGTTGATCATTACTTCTGCCCAATTGGTTTAACACCCTTAATGAATAGGTTCATTGAATCTCGAACACCTATGGGTAAGGTGTGGAAGGTTGCTGTCGGCGAGATTGGATTTGTGGACTATATGTTTGTTCCTGACACCCCCTTTATATGGAACACCTTTCTCCACCCTTCCTCTTCCGCAGTTACATTTTTTCATCACACCCTCTCCCTTAACCTACAGCGCCACCAGCTATCATATATGACCTTCTCTCTGTGAAGTGCAGCCTCGACCTGATTCTCATTTACCAGAAAGACGCACAGGGCATGCCAGATCGCCTTCAGCAGAGCAATGTTGTTCCGTCGAGTTGTTTGACTACATCGTGGTTATGCATGTAATCAAGTGAATCAGAGTTATTTGACATTTGACAGATGATATATTCAAATTGGGCAATCACTGTACGCGCTGCTCGGTGCAGCAACACTTCCAGGACCAAGCACATGACACCACAACTCAGCGGTAATTAACCGGAAAATGTGGAGGGGGTTACATTAAGGTCACGATAGCCTACGTGCAACGTGAAATGGCCTTTAAGTTATTTAAATACTGACCTAATGACGTCATTAAAGCTGACGTACTTACAGTCAGGCCTCATGCATGATGACTTTCAGACGCTTTCTGACGTTCAAATATTCTACTGACGTTTAAACATTCCACTGTACTCCGTTAAAACATACAGTATACGAGGGGCGATCAAGAAGTATGTAGAATCACCAAGAAAACGATACAAATGCAGTTATTGTTATGTTTTATTTTTCTACATATTATCTGTCAAGCTCAAGCATTTGGTTTTGCTATGTTCCAGTCTCACGATCCACATTTTGTTTCACCTTTTATCTTGGTAGCCTCAAAAACGCAAAATCTACAATAAATGCATCAAACACGTCAGGAAACAAAATATGCAAGAAATATTTTGTGTGTTTGAGATTGATAGAAGTCCCCTAGAATCACACTTAAATATTAAAGTGACTGACCATTCTTGTTTTGGAGACACTACCCATCCCCCTTTCAGGTGACGTAATCATAAGGGCATAGCTTATTCTAATGTTTTCACTTATGCATACATGATGCCAAGGGTTCAAACTAAATAGTGAATGGTCACACAAGCGTCAGCTCCCAATATATTGTAAACAGTGCCAGCTTGAATATCTGGACACAATGTTTTTGAAAGATTAAAATGGGGGTGTCCTTAAAAATTAGCCCCCGACTAAATATAAATCAGGCAATCCAAATCTTTGACTGTTGATCATGACGGGAAGTCATCCAATACTATACTGATCATATTTTATATGACATTATCTGAGGACATACCATTATTCAAGAGGTACCAAAAGACAAATCGGTTTTCATTTTCTGCAATTTTGTTAGAAATATTACACCCCGATGTGCTGTGATGTCAAATATCTGGTTAACCATATTACCCACACATGTGAAATTTTGGATATGGCTTTGCTAACGATTCCTTCAAAACAAAATGGAAGCTTTTCAAACATTGGACATCGAGAATATAGGCTACGTACTTTTTGATGGACCCTCGTATTTATCAGAAGGACGTTTTGAATATTCAACAGGACTAACGTCCACGGTGACAAAGTATAGCAATCATGGCGTACATATACAGCTTTGTCTGACTAATGATGCTCTTGGGTCCGTGTACGTGTATATTGTGGCAAATTATTCTTTACTTCCGGCTTTTGTTTATCCTGACACACTGTTTCTCTCACGTCATGTGTACTGCCGTATTGATCCTCTCACCCCCAACACACTAGTGGTGGTCCGATTACTTGAAATAATCGAAGATTGGTCGCAGTGACTAAACGACCAAGCAATCGATCATGTTTTCTCATAATCGAATACAAACAATTCTGGAACACCTTTTGCATTAACAAGTTTTTGTCTGTTACATTTCATGAGCACTACAAGCTCGGTCCAAGTCATGATTGAATTTATCTTAAAGACCCCCAGAAATTTATGTTCCTAACATACTAGTCATCCTTTAAAGATGTGAAATTTGCGGAAAAAACAACCAAAGAACTACAAGTTTTTTCTTTATGTTTTTGTGCAAACAGGAAAATTTCATAAATGACGCTAACCAATTATTTTCGATGATTGATCGGTTGTAATGAACCAATCATCAATTATGAGATTTTAACCAATTCCCAACACTACAACACACACGTACATCATGTTTATACACTATTGGTCCTAACGTGTCATGTTTACTGACGTATTGGCACCCTCACTGTCATATTTACTGACTGACTGAGTGATTGAGTGAGTATGGTTTTACGCCACTTTTAGTAATATTCCAGCAATATCACGGGGGACACCAGAAATGGGCTTCACGCATTGTACCCATGTGGGGAATCGAACCCGGGTCTTCGCCGTGACGAGCGAACACTTTAACCAATTGGCTACCCTACCGCCCCCGTGTTTACTGACGCATTGACCTTCTCGTGTCATGTTCACTGACGTCATCTTTTCTGACGTGTGATGTATAAGCGTAGATTAGGCTCAGATAAATACATCACACTTGTTGTTATAAACTGGCGTTCGATTCCTTGACAGCGGTTCCAAATGGCGTTAACAGAGGATGGTACTTGTTGTTACCATGACTGGCGTTCGCCATTTAGAGGATAAAACAAGTACAAGTCAGCACAGTACACAGTGTCTGTGGCATTCGTCACCACTCGCCCCTTTCCGTAACCTCCAAGCTATTCGGCTTGTCCGGGAATAACACGAGTTGGTCACGATCGTGTCTGTGGGGTACAGCGTTCGAAATAATCGCCGGCCCAGAGGCCCAGCGCCGGTTGTTATTGTATTAGGCCGGCAGTTTCAAATATTTGCAGGCCATTGTGGCCTTCAGTACATTATCTGTCAATGTTTGTTGGGGATTTTCAACTGGAATCTTTCCGATATTGTTTTTCTTTATTATCGTTCGGGAATCATCCATGATCCATCATGGTAGATAACTTACAGTTTCACTTTCTGGTATTTCAAAGCTTTGCGCGTAGGAATGTCAACACCAGAATACGAACGAAACTTTTGATATATTGTAAAGGATATTCTAAAAGTCACATTCCGTGATTAAAATTGAACAAAAAGTTTGTAAAATAGCAATAAAAACACGAAAAACGTACTCATATTTCCACCTATTACGGAAACACCCGACAGTTAATGAGCAGAGGGGGTATCACGTGACATGACGTCATATGTGCCTGTTGCTGATGGCTTTCTCTTTGATTTTACCTCACAACTTAACAGAGTCCATGGATTCTGAAGCAGTAAAAGATGTTCCTGGTGTCATTTCTGAAATGGATGTTAGACCGTATCAATACGATCTTCAAGACAATCTTCCACTGAAGATGAAGAAGAAGAATCAAGAGAAACGGAGGCACCGCTTGAGTCAAAATAAATTTAAAAATAGACCATATCATTTAAGAATAAGAATACTATTTGTCAGCAAAATGTGATATAGTTCCAACCAGCAAACCTACCCCTATAAATATATGACAAGTCCCTAAGAATTTTTATTTTGAAATGTGATTGCAGTTCCTTTTGTGTCAAATGGGTGACTGTAGCTGGGTGTCCGGGATTTAAAAACAAAATAATTATGCTTCAGACGGGGGAAAATAGAAATTATCTGCTACAAAAATTACACTGGAATTATTTTGCTAAAAAAAATTAGGATCCTAGTTCTCATTAATAACGTATCAAGTCTCCATACAATATCCCAGCCTGGTCGAGAAGAGATGATATTCGCGACGCAGATAAGTTATTCCCTCAAACTGGTGAATCATAAAATACTAGTCAGGACAATGTATGTTTCCCTAGTTTTTGGTTATGGAAATAGTTATGGTACTCGATCATAGCCTTAGAATGACATCTTGTCAGCCAATGAGAATACAGAACAACTTTCACGGCACACACTACTGACAAATAGCGAGTCTGATGCCGACGTGCGTATAATTGGACAAAATGGAAAACAATTAAAGCAACAAGTACTTCATGATTTGCCCTTGTATTCGGCAATGTTTCGGGTAGACTGCAGCATTTAGGGCTCCAAACCGAAAAGAACGTTATAGTGAAACATTTTCAAGCTCATGTGAAATCTCTTACTGAATTTGATAATATATATCTCATGAGTACCAGTCGAACTGCCCCAGCTACAAAATGCCCCAGCAAATTTGGTCATTCATTCTAATTTGATCAAATTTATTAAAAATGATTAAATATATGCCGTAAATGCATAGTTTTTGTCAACTTTGATATTATGTTCTTCATATAAATGTTATAAGGAAGTAATATTTATAAAAAATGTTCCATTAGTAAACTCATCACTATGTATATCATTTTATATAAATTGGGGCATTTTGACTACCCCATGGGGCAAATTGACCAAAACTTGGGGGCAATTTGACTAAATTTGCTGGGGCAATTTCTTTTTCAGCCTAGCTTTGGGATTTGTATGCCCCATGTGTGCATGTCTCTTTCATATGCGATCCGACTCGGAATGATCGGAGAATTTCTCCTGCCTAAATCTGTCTCTTTACTTGGAAAACAGAAGAAATGGTGGCTTTCCATTGTTCGATGATTCCGTGCATCCCCAGACAACGGAAAATATCTTCGCACCATTTACAAAAACGACAGAAACAACACGATTTGTATTACTATAGCGCTTGTTCTTTGGCAATATGGCGGACGCTTGTCACATATGACGTCACGAGAGGAAAGGTCACGTGAGTTCCAGCGGAATATGCATAATGGCCGAAGCTCAGATAGCAGAAACTGTTTTCGCGATAAAAACATAATAAACCATATTTTTGAAATAGAAATTGGGGTACATGTTTCTGATGACTTTATCTTTCACCCAGCAAATTATTGCAATTGTCTAGTATTCTCCTTTAACAAATAAAAACTTCTCTCAGCGCCATAGGCTTCGCTAATTGAAACAGTGTGAAACTGTGTACAGTGTAGTCTATTTTGTTTTTATTGGTTTGATTTTAACAAAATGGGCCTGCAGATTTCATTCAGGGCCTGCAGATTTCATTCAGGGCCTGTAGATTTTCAGGGCTTCATTCAGGGCCTGGATTTTATTCAGGGCAGCCATTGATGGCCTGTAATTTCATTCAGGCCTGCAGAATTCAGGGCCTATTTTCATTCAGGGCATAGATTTCCATGTTTCATTCATGGCCTAAAACTGTTTCACACGGTATCTTCGGCGGCAGCAGCCCAGATGGCCAACTGGCAAATTAAAGTATTGCAAACATATCCTATTTCCATGTAAAACTGTCACACGGTATCTCGGTGAGTGAGTGAGTGAGTGAGAGAGAGAGATGCGAAGAAAATGAGACTTGAAATGACAGTTACATGCAGAGTCTACAATACTGAGTAGATTCCATGATGCCAACAATCAAACACTGTTTCTTCTCACATGACTCTCAATATCAGTTATCTGAGTCCATTCCAAGCGTGTATGTATATTGGACTCGACCCATGAAGACTCAATTAATGTTTGGCTACTTACATGAGAAAATATCCAAGTAAATTTACATCATGTTCAAATGTTGTTTTCGCCAGGTATAAGTAAACATAATCTCGTGATTAGAATAACTGAATTTTCACCATTTGACACAATGTCGTTGAGTAAGCTGCTCATGCAAAACGGAGGAGAGATTTCCCATACTTTGTCAGTATGTGTTTGGCCCTGGGGTTGTGTCGTGAGAGAGAAGTATGGAGTAGAGAACGATCTCGCCATTGGTGGTCTCAAACCATGAAAATGTCCTTTGATGGCACACTTTGGATAGAGAACTTTAGCATGAATAGAGAGACATTCTATGTTGTTTGCAATGAACTACAGCCATGTTATCCCAAAGGATTTTTATGTAAGGGAACCTCTGGAACTGGACCATAAGGTGGGCATTGCAGTCTACTGGTTTGCTTGCTCCCTCTGCAGAGTATAGAACTATTGCTAATCTCTTTGGGGGTAGGAGTTTCCACAGTTCACAATTGTGTACATGGCGTCTGCAATGCGATATCCGAAAGTGAGTTAACAAAATATGTGAAGTTCCCAGCAGGAGATGAACTAAGACATGTGATTTAGGGCTTTGAAGAGACGTGGGATTTCCCTAACTGTGCGGGTGCCATCGATGGAACACATATCCCAATCATCGAACCATCCTTGGCACATGGTGACTACCTGAATAGAAATGGATGGTACTCCATTCTTCTGCAGGCAGTGTGTGATGCCAGGGTTTTGGCAACTCAGAGCTGTGCTACAAGGGGGAGACAAGTGACCTGTTTCCAAAGTTGACAAAGCAGCTGCTACTACGCGACAGATTGTGATTGTGGCTGATGCAGCCTATCCTTTGAAAACATGGCTTCTAAAGCCATATACACACATTGCGAAACTATCAGAGGTGCAAAAGGAATACAGTTACAGATTGAGTCGTGCACGGATGACTATAGAAATTACCTTTGGGCGTTTGAAAGGACGCTGGAGGTGCTTCTGTGGAGTTCTCAGATCTTCACACAGGTATGGTATCACAGGATTGTATTTTGCAAAGACTGATGTAATGAGTAATACTGAAGTACTCACGTGTTGTACGGTACAATGTCCGGGATCCACAACTTGTCCACGGGGAGACGGATCATACTCATGCCGCCATATTTGCTGGCGTTCCAGGCAAGGCGCGGGTCCTTCCATAGCTGAACAACAAGGAGAGTCTAGCAGCTAGCGACTACGTAACATCTGTTTGTGTCGTAATTGGAGTGAGTGATTAAGTTTTACGCCGCTTTTAGCAATATTCCAGCAATATCACGGCGGGAACACCAGAAATGGGCTTCACACATTGTACCAATGTATTGAATTGAACCCAGGTCTTCGGCGTGACGAGCGAACGCTTTAACCACTAGGCTATCCCACCGCCTCGTCGTATTGAGAAAGATGTGATGAACATTGACGTGATACATTGCAGTGCTGGTGTTCCTCTTACATCACTTTTGTTTAATATAAAATATATTTGAAGCCTCCTTATAGTTCCCTTTTACGGAAAACGTCACTGGGTACACTAGCTAACATGTATTTGTTACTGGGATATTCGAAGCGTGTTATGTAATGGCAGGAAAATGTGCTTTATATGAAGGGGATTTTTTTTAACTACAACAAATATCACCCGCAGTTTTTCTTCTTTTTTTTTAGCCGAAAGAAGGTTTGTTGGGAACTATAGAACAATGTCATAAATTAAAAGAACATTGACATAAATTACCGAATATTGTTGTGATTTAGTATATTGATATACATTATAAATCATAATTATATAATATGATATAAAGAACACTGTGCGTTATTTTGACTGACAGTACGAACCTGCGCTAACAGAAGCGTAGCAGTGAAGACGTTCTTGTTCTCGTCCTGAAACGTAGAGCCCGTGGTGTCATCATCATCATCATCATCATCATCATCATCATCATCATCCTCCTCCTTATTCTGGCCCGTGAAGATCCGGGTAAGAACTGGTCTTCAGTAACCCATACTTGTCTTAAGAGGCGACAAACGGGATCGTGTGGTCAGGCTCTGGATTGCCACATGTCATCGTATCCCAATTGCGTAGATCGATGTTCATACTGTTGATCATTGGATTGTCTGGTCCATATCGGTTTATGTACAGACCGCCGCCATATAGCTGGAATATTGCTGAGTGCAGCGTTAAACTAAACTCACTCACTCATTCTGATTCTATTACCATTTTCACTACTAGGTCAACAACAAGTTCGCAGGGGTCTGGCTATACGACACAACAGGTGTGATATCACTAGTACTTATTATTGGCACTAGTACTCGTACATATTCTGCCAAAATGTAATTTACCTTACTTTTCAACCGTATTAGTAATTTCTCTTCACAAAAGAACAGCCAAATACGGAGAAATTTAACCCGGATCCTGACAAAATGAAAAGCGGACAAATTTTACTCTCAGCAAATAAATCTGACCACAGGCAAATTGTAGCGCAAATACAGTTGCGCAACAAAGAGAAAATGACCAGTCTTCCTACATGCGAGCGCTCGCATATAGAAAGACTGGTTATTTTTCTTTCTGTTGCGCAGTCCTATTTTGCGCTACAGTTTGCCTGTGATCTGACACGTTAGATCGGCTTTTGTTACGGGTGTTAACAACGTGATCCCCCGAAAATGGACGCGGTCTACTTACGACATCATCTACTCCGACGAAGCTGACTTGCATTGAGACGTTGACGCTGGTCTTGAAGTTGAGGACGGGCAGCGCCTCCTTGGCGTAGTCACGCATCAGCTGTTTCACCAGTCTGGTCTCCATAGCAACGCTGCTCTGGGGCGGCACTGAGGGGAGAGACGTTTGGCATTGACACTGACATGTCACAGAGGGTTAAGTATATGGTGAGTGAGTGTATTGGGACGGGACTGTGGGAGAGACGTGGTCGCCATTGACAATGACATGTTACAGAGAGAGTAGTCTCTATATTGAGTGAGTGCACTAATCACCCGCTGCTTTTAGCAATACATGTATTCCACGGCGGGTTGCCAAGGGTCATCTCAAACCTGGTCTGGGAGGTGAAGAGTCGTGTCATTCGTATTGGTATACAGGGAATATTTTTACGTGGCCTCTGTGTGACATTTGACCATATTTCTATGGCTGTGTCGGTGAAAGAGTGCGTTAGAATTGAAGATTAGAATTTCCTACACTCATCAGTCTAAGTAAACTTAGGCTCAGTATTATTCGTTACACTGCCATACTGAATCTAACAAACCCTAGTAGAAGGTCGCGCCAGCTAACCTTTGGTATTGGCCAATCAGAACACAGCTTAGCAAATCGCAAAAGTTTACCTTCGCACATACCATTTGAACTTTTAACTCGAAAACGTTTGTAGTCGAACGATTCCGAATGCTATTTTCAGCACGGTCTTCCGATTGATACAATCGCCAAATGTTCGTGACTAAACAGTCGCTGAAAAGAGCGTTTTGTCAATATTCCAGGATGTCATCGTGTGGAAATATAACGCCATGTCACCCTTCTACATACTGCAGGTCAACTTGTTTTTGACGTTTTTCGTTTGTTGGGATCAGCGTTAGCGACCGAAAGAGATAAACCATTTTGTAAGTCCCGCCGACCCGTTGTTGATAGATAAATCCGTCGGCCGTCTTGCGTTTGATTGGACGCGACCTTCTACTAGGGTTTGTTAGACTCATTATAGCAGTCAAACCGAAACATGAGTCTCATTAACCTATTCAGATAATGACCTACTTTTCAGCCGATCGGAATTTTCTCGTGTGAACGTGAAAATAGATACCACAAACAACTATGGTTACACTGAATTCCAGTTCCTTGTTTGATAAGAAAATGGTGCTTACAACTGAATTTCAATTTTAAACTTTAATAACATCGTATTTCTATATTTTATGGCGATGTGTAGGCAGCATGACCTTAACTAAGACGTCTCAGACTGCCCCAGTTTGACGAGGTCGTAAAATAATTCACAATGCATCTGGCTCACTGGTTACATCTGTTATGTGTTTTTTCCGTTTATCCAGTGTAGTTTTGTAACGCACAATGTGATTGATATAATATCAAGTCCGTACCAGACCGCCAAACTTTTCTAGCGGCAGAGCCTCGTTTTGAGATTTCCACGTTTCTATTTGCCTGTGTTCGCTGTACGACAGAGCACGCTGCTCGACATGTTTGCAAGGATTATAAGGAGCGTAGTATTGCAATATACAAGTGCTTAGATGTAAATAATAATACTGATTAATATTTATGTATCCAGTTACATGAATTGGTCTCTAAATTCTGGACTGGTTATTGTACTAAGTTGCGCAATAGGACGGAACCCAGTCAACAGGAAACGAGACTGTTGTGTAATCAATATTTTGACTTGCTACGAATATTACTGAGCCTAAGATTACTTAGACTGCTACACTCATCAACGCGAAAGATAGGATGAGAGAAATTATTACACACATTTTTTTCGAATAAGATAATCAATTCTTATTAATCTTACGTCCAAATAGTCGTACTAAATAGTTTACAATGAAACTGAATATGGTTGATAATGAACTAATCGTCCACACCTGCGTCACACTAAGTGAGTGAGTTAATGTTTATCGTCACATCGGCAATATTTCAGCCATATCGTGGCGAGAACAATTTGTAGATTAAAGATAAATACATTTTAAAGCTTAAAATCTGTCTGCGATGGACAGTAAACGACTAGAACGTCAGAGTGAGGTAAAACATGTTATAAAAAGATATCATTAAAGTGAACAATACATTATATAAAGGGCTATAGATCACCTCACCAGAAACCATTGGGACTTACATCACCACACTGAAATACGCATTGACTAATGTACGAGTAGGGTTGTTAAAGTGCGGAGTCAAACTTAGTCCAGAAACTTACTCACAAGTGTTCTGTGGTGTGCTACCTCTGGCCCCTGTGTTACATATAAACTGATCCCTGTGTTAGATACTAACTGGCCCCTGTGTTACATATTAACTGGTCCCTGTGTTACATATTAACTGATCCCTGTGTTAGATATTAACTGGTCCCTGTGTTACATACTAACTGGTCCCTGTGTTAGATATAAACTGATCCCTGTGTTAGATACTAACTGGTCCCTGTGTTAGATATTAACTGGTCCCTGTGTTAGATACTAACTGGTCCCTGTGTTAGATACTAACTGGTCCCTGTGTTACATATTAACCGATCCCTGTGTTTGAAACTAGCTGGTCCCTATGTTAGATATAAACTGATCCCTGTGTTAGATACTAACTGGTCCCCGTGTTACATATTAACTGATCCCTGTCTTAGATATAAACTGATCCCTGTGTTAGATACTAACTGGTCCCTTTGCTGCATACTAACTGGTCTTTGTGTTCGATACTTACTGGTCCCTGTGAGATGCTAACTGGTCCCTGTGTTAAGTACCAACTGGTCTCTTTGCGGCATACTAACTGGTCCTCGTGTTAGATACTAACTGGTCCCTGTGCTGCATACTAACTGGTCCTTGTGTCAGATACTAACTGGTCTCAGTGTTAGATACTAACTGGTCTCTGTTAGATGCTAACTGGTCCCTGTGTTAAGTACCAACTGGTCTCTTTGCGGCATACTAACTGGTCCTCGTGTTAGATACTAACTGGTCCCGGTGCTGCATACTAACTGGTCTTTGTGTCAGATACTAACTGGTCCCTGTGTTAGATACTAACTAGTCCCTGTGTCAGATACTAGGTCCCTGTGTTAGATACTAACTGGTCTTTGTGTTAGATACTAACTGGTCCTGTGTCAGATACTAACTGGTCTCAGTGTTAGATACTAACTGGTCTCTGTGTTAGATACTAACTGGTCCCTGTGTAAGATACTAACTGGTCCCTGTTTTAGATACTAACTGGTCCCTGTGTTAACTGCCCTGTGTAAGTACTAACTAGACTCTTTGCGGCATACTAACTGGTCCTCGTGTTAGATACTAACTGGTCCCTTTGCTGCATATGCTAACTGGTCCCTATGTTGGATACAAAATGGTCCCTATGTTCGATACTATAGTATGACCAGAAATTGAGAATTTTAGGAATATGTTTAATTGGATTTCTAGTATAAACAACCTTGACCAGCTATCAAGTGCTTGGTTTCGTTCAAGAGAGACAACTCCGTTAATCCTTTTTCATTAGTTTGTGAAGAGTTATCGCCCTTTGTTTTACTTGCTAGCAGACGACATTTTCAGTGATCCTCAGTATGGAGGATTTAGAGAAGAAGGAAGTTGATTTTAGAGTATTATAACAAGGACATCAGATCAGCTAAAGTCATTTCAAGTAGAACAGGCATCCCTTTGTCTACTGTTTATCGTGTTTTGAAAAATATTGCAAATGGATATGGCATTGAGCACCAGGGGGCGCAGGTAGGTTCAGAAAATTGACTGTCGGTGACAGGAGGCGGCTTAGTATTCTTGATTCTAAAACAAACGAAGGAGTTTAGAAAACTTAAGGCTGGATATGATTGATAGAGGAATTGTGGCTGTCTGTAAGGAGACAATTAGAACTGAGCTGCGTGCAATGGGTTGGCAGAAAAGTAAGAATTCCATCACCGATCATGAAACCTGAACAAAAGGAGCGAAGGTTGAACTGGTGCTTGCAGCATAGAAATTTTAACTGGGACAATGTGATTTTCTCAGATAAATATTCTGTGTGGCTGTTTCCTAATACACTGAAATTCTGGACCAAACGAAATGAACAACCTTTGTATCAGCGCCCAAAGTACAGTCCGAAATTTAACGTGTGGGGTGGCATATCTGTGTTAGGGGCAACGCCCCTCTGTGTATTTGAAGGGAATATGAACAGTGAGCGGTACACAAATATTCTCGAGGGACATTTACTTCCGTCTGCTCACGTGTTTTATGGAAATTTTGGCTTTTCCAGCAGGACAACGACCCAAAACATCGTTCAAAGCATTCACAGGCCTGGTTTCGGACCCAAAATATGACATTATTAGATTGGCCAAGCTATAGCCCTGACCTAAATCCAATAGAAAATGTTTGGGGACTTATGAAGGAAAGTGTCAATAAGAAAGGTCTGACAAATATTGCTGAAATGAAAGAAGAAGGTGGTCCGATGGTCCGAAACTTTCTAACTTCTTTGATCAGTAGTATGCCCCGCCGCATTGAAGCCTGCATTGCTGCCCATGGTGACTCGACAAAAAAATACTAACTGTTCACCTGTCTTTGAATCTGGAGTTATGTTCTGCTAATATTCACATTTATTACGTAAGTAATGAGTGAAAATTTAAAAAAAAATACAATCTTAAATTCTCAGTAATTTCTGGTTGTACTGTAACTAGTCCCTTTGTTCGATAACTGATCCCTACGTTGGATACTAAATGGTCGTCAAGCTTGATTCTACTGCTGTTGTAGAGTGTGTTCTCTAAATTACCGGATGTATTCGGCGTCTGCCACCGCTGTCCCTCCCGCCCAAACAGATGGATGATGACCCATCCCAATTGTAACCTCGCATCTCTCCTATCGCTGTAATGACACTCCGAATCTTCCTATCAGTGGAGCTTCGCCTATCCGGCGTAAATGGTGTGTTTTTAACGAGGACACTGCAGCCTCCGTCATTGCCTAAGAGATGCACTCTACATTGTGTTCTGTTACACGTATAGGTATACCACCTTTTGAAAGCGCGTTTTAATGTTTTGGGTTGTTTTTTTCCGGAAATCGAGTTCTACTGACTGTTTACTACTTAGATTAAAGTTAAAAAACAAAAGGCTGTGAAATCTAAACACAAGGGACTATTGTATTGATGTGAAACAATAACATCAACTTTAGAAACACAATCTCTCCAAAGTTCATTATGTGCGCCAGAGATTGATAATTACACATAGATTTACGAATGAAGCCCTCTCATAATCACAGACGACGACATGATAAGCACATTAACAGTTACACTGGGGCTAAATGACAGGATTTGTTAGCAGATTGGAAACACTTAATTGAGAGAGAGAGAGAGAGAGAGAGAGAGAGAGAGAGAGAGAGAGAGAGAGAGAGAGAGAGAGAGAGAGAGAGAGAGAGAGAGAGAGAGAGAGAGATTTGCCTTTCTCAGAATAACTTTAACCAGAGACCATATATTAGATTATTATATTGTCTCTGCTTTAACCATACATGAAAAAACCCCGTACGTAATCTTTTACACACACAACACTACCCCTCATCCGAACACACACAACAGACTAGGATGAAACGACACTACATGATAACAACATATATACCATCATGGGCGGTGGGATGGACCGCTCGCCCAAACCAAGCCCGTGCGCGTTATAGTGAAACATCGTGGGAAGGACATTGTTATATAGCACTCAAACAGTTACTGAAAACGAGTAAACGTAAGAGTTGTGTAAGATTATGAACCATTCACTCTACATGACCAACTACACCGCTGCACGTGTGATTCAGCTGATAGATGCGACAGGCATTCCATTATGTCTGACGAAAGCATCCAAGATTGGTTCTGCAACTGCGCCGTGAGAAAGTTTACTACAACTTACCAGAACTGACGACAGATGCAGTAGCCGCTGCCACCAACATCCACGAGAGAAGAGAGGCCATGTTGGTTCTGGTAGGGTTCAAAAACAACGAGAAAGTGATGGCCCGTGTCTGCTTTCAAAGGATATCGCTAGCGGGTTTAAATATACGCGTTACAGCTAACGACTCGCCATCGTTCGGGGCAGCTTGGTGGAGTTGTCGTTCTTGAGCAGATGAACTCACGTGTGTGGAATGTGAAAGAAGCGCTCGGAAAAGGTGTATCTATTTCAATCTGACATGCATCATCGCCGAGAGTTAGATCATCGCCAGGGAAGATGAAGAACTATCATGTGTTCATATCACAGGACATAGATTAGCGAGGGACGAGAGTGAGTGAGTGAGGGAAAATATGCATGGTACCCGGAAGAACAGAATACAGAAGGACAAAGGAGAGGTGGCTCACGGAAGAAAGAGAACTATAAAAAAAAGTACTGTCGGAAATTGAAAAAAACTGTTTTTAGGCTGTATCGCTGTATCCCTAAAATTTACACAATTGCAAATAGCATATGTCGAAATAACCCACTTCAGCCTAACTGGGCGTTCAGTGGGATGCGTAATACGATATCCAGAAAAGCATGTTTACTCGTAAAATCGGGCAAAACTGAGAAAAATACGAATAGCTGCTGGAAACAATAGATCAGACTATAGATGGCAATTAGGTCGCTCAGCCAGGTATGACGACGGACCGTCGACTCACCTGGCATGAAATGCACGTGCTGCCTACAGGCACAAGGGGTCATCTCAAAGATATTTTGTGCTTTTTCATGTGTGTTGACTATGTCTCATCTACTGATTAACATCTTACGTGTCTTTCTTTCATTCAGTTTATGTTGAGATATGTAAGAGAGTATGATACCCCAAACCATAGAACCGCATCGTAGTATACAGGTGGCATGACCACCCGAAGATCGACAGGACTGGATATTATTTGTAAATTGTTATGACGTGCCGTGTACCTCCCCAGTATAATTGCCCTAAAGGATTATCTTATCTTAGCTGATATCTCTATCCCCGTGCCCGACCCTAGGTTTTGCTTTTGAGGCGACCTCTCCTATCTGTTTCTTTTTATAGTGACAGTGAGACGGCATGGTAGCTACATCCTTAATAGTTTCGGCATAAAAGTTATTATTTTTTACGTCAGTTATCGTTTATAATGAATCTACGTCTAATTTCAAATTGGGCATTTAAAAAGTGTCCTTTGTAATACAATATCGTCGCACACTAATTTGCATAAAGCCATGGTCTGTTCCAAATAAGTCTTTTTGGACTTAGAAAAAACCCCGCATTGCTCATTTCGGCACTAATTTCCCCTCAGTAAAGTCCTTTTTCTCCGTTTCCTATCTCTCTACCACTGAGACTGTAGTTAGGCCGAACTTAGTTTAACAGATATTTTACACTTTCACATTTCAACTACATAAATTGTAGAGATAAATGAGAAAATATAGTTTTCTTTCTATTTCCGACAGTACTATAGCAAATACATCTGTTGTGCCATGTGGTTTTGTGCCGCTTACAGTAATGTTCCAGCTATGTTGAGACGGGGTATACAACAAATAGACTAAAGGATTGTACCCATGTGAATGGAACCCGTACCGTTTGTGTGATGTGCTTAACCCACTAAGCTAACCAAATGGCCCCTTGCCCGTTTCAGTTTGACTTAAATATGAGTAAGCTAAAAACCAGAACAACGCTGAGTTTGGATAGAGGTAGTAACTGGAGACGTCATGGTTTGATCAGTACGTACAGACACTCGCCACTTCATGGCTGATGTATGTCATACCACCGACTTAACCGCAGCCCCTCGTACAAGTATACTTAGAGTCATGTAAGAGTTACGTCCCTTGAATGAAATTCTGTCTCGCATAAACGGTACTAGATCTATAACAGGCGTTATTTATTACCCGGATTCCCTAATACCCGGGTTCGGTTCCCCACGTGGTTACAATGTGTGATATTATTTCTGGTGTGTCCGCCGTGATCTTACAATGTTGCGAAATGCGGCGGAACACTGTAATCTATCTTGGTGATATTTGGTCACAGAAATTTCAACTTGTGGTAAGAAGCAACAAACGGGATCAACATCTGGTAAGCTGACTTGGGTGATGTAGACTACATTGCCCACATTGCGTAGATCGATGCCCATGATGCCAGCCATTAGTATAGACCCAGTCATTTATCGACACCACGGCGCTTTTATGTGAGTAAATGAGTGAGTTTAGTTTTACGCCGCACTCAGCAATATTCCAGCTATATGGCGGCGGTCTGTAAATAATCGAGTCTGGACCAGACAATCCAGTGATCAACAGCATGAGCATCGATCTGAGCAAATGGGAACCGATGACATGTGTCTACCAATCCAGCGAGCCTGCACCCGATCCCGTTAGTCGCCTCTCACGACAAGCATGGGTTGCTGAAGATCAATTCTAACCCAGACTTTCACCTCTATCATTGAAAAATACATTCTGAAATCTGAAGTGAGAAACAAATTTGTAGATCGGATGTCATCGCACCCCCACGACCATTACACATGCTTCAACCACCATATCTACCTGACCCATATTATTTATCATATACCATACCCGTGAAGGTCCGGGTTAGAATAGCCCTTCAGCAACCCATGCTTGCTATAAAAGGCGACTATGCCTGTCGTAAAATGCCACGGGATCACAGGCTCGCTGGGACACATGGTTCCCAATTGCGCAGATCGATGCTATTATCACTATCCAGACGTAAAATATAGCTGAATAACATTCGCAACTCATCACTCACTCGCTATCATATACCACCACCACATAGCTGGGATTGTATTAACTATGGCGTAAAATAACATTCATTCATCGTTCGCTCGTCACGCCGAAGACCCGGGTTCGATTCCCCACATGGGTACAATGTGTGAAGCCCATTTCTTGTGTCCCCGGTCGTGTAACTGCTGGAATATTGCTGAAAGCGGCGTAAAACTAAACTCACCCACTCATTGGCTCATTACTGTCCCAAAATCTTGTAAATACTATTTTAAGCTGCACAATTATATGTGCAAATTTCTACAATCGCTTCGTAATAGTTGTTATATTGATAATTTACGACTAAGCTGGAGCGCTATTCTCAGATTGAAGGGCGGTGGGGTAGCCTAGTGGTTATAGCGTTCGCTCGTCACGCCCAAGTTCGATTCCCCAGGGTAGAGTGAACTCATTTTTAATGTCCCCCCACCCCCACCCGTAATGTTACTGGAATATTGCTAAAAGCGGCGTAAAACTAAACTCACCCTCTCACTCACTGTATTACACCGGTATTGTACAAAATGAACCGTTTTAATTATAACTGAAAATCCATATTCAGGTGCTTAATAAACAACATCTTATCGACCGGCATCTTTATATAATTTCCATAATGAATAAGATTAATTTACAAATGATATTTTAGTCAATTATCATCAGCAAAACTAGATCTATCAAAACTAAAACGCGCACCTGAACTTTTTGAATATTCTTTGAAATAACGAGCCAACCTGTGAAAATCCTAAATTATTCAATGTTAGCACAAGTATAATATCGCGAGATCAATATTAACTATCTAGAATTCATACGTTTATTCGAAACACTGCAACGGATACGTGGAATTAAATCCTCAAGTAAATCGAAGACCAGAAAAACGACTCGGACGGGAGAGCGACCACTTTCTCATCTGGAGCAAGTGCGCCGTGTGCAAACGACCCGAGCAGGGAGCGTTTCTTCGGCAGGGTGCAGTTCCCAGTCGGATCAGTTGTCTTCAACCATTCATCTTTGCCAGCAGGTATGATTTTACACACGGTAGTTTTATCAAATACCACACCGACCCAGAGTGACGCATGCATTGAACCAGGCTTATTAGACTGAGAATCTTTCTCGACAGATGGTGCGACGGCGGCCATTTTGTCTAGTTGATTTTATCACAGCAGTAGAGCGCTCGCCCAAATCGAAGCCACGCATATTCGTTCTGTAAGACTATATATGTTGGCAGGCATTTGCATGGAACAAGTTGCAACATTTTGCGGTGATTTAAGTCTATTTGGCCATTATCTACAACAAGAGCGTAGATTATGTTTTGTGTCAAAGGTCAATATGTTTGTCGGTAGCGTGATCTGTAAATACTATGCGTTGTCTGCCGCCCTTTCGGAAGCCATGTTAGATTTTACGGACGCTTCGTTTTGAGTGAGTTCCATTTCACTCTCCGTCGTAGATTTATATTGTGTATGTAAATTTACATGAATCGATATTTCTGGTGCATTCCACTCAAATATTCATAATGGTAATGGAACATATACAATTATTAAAGAAATGCCGACATACAGTAGTTGGCCATAAGTGAGTCACCATTAGTGAAATTCCAAATAACTTGCATGTTAATTAACTCTTGCAAGAATATTTTTCACAAATTTAGTTTCTGTCGAATTTCTTTCAATGCTTATCTACCAGCTGGGAAATCATCTCAGCTACATACACATAATTTTCATTCAATTTTCCGATGATTATTAAGAAAACTGAAACTATGTAAACAACATATATTAGACATACCAACCAGGTTTAACATGGCTGTCTATGGGATAGATTAAGATTAAGTTATACTTATATATGGTGCTTAGTCAGGTGTCATTCGATAACTAATCAATGGAAAGATGAATGAAAATTATGTACACGTAGCTGAAGATGATTTCCAAGATGTTTTGCAGAATATCAAAATATAATGACTTCTACTTAATTTATGAAAATTATTCTTGCAACAGTTAATTAACATATAAGTCTAGAGAAATTTCACTACTGATGACTCACTTATGGCCAACTTCTGTAGTTCAAATTTCGTAACTTTATGTTATATTTTGAATTACACTTTCTCAGTAAAGCACAGATTATAGTACTTTTGTTAATAAAGGGGCACTGATCCAGAGCAATTTCCGTGGACTGGGTGTTGCTTTTGTTGAGTGAGTACCTGGATGATATCCCAGAATTCTTGACTGGTTCGTGACTTCTGTGGCGCCACCAGCATGTGCAACTGATGGTATTAGTATAGATTGATCAACAAAGAAGAAATCTTGTTTACTCGATAATATTTCCATCTGCATTGTTTTGATAACAACATTTTGAAGTTTAATCATCTGCCAGTGGTAAAAAAATGTTAGGAGTGAGTATAGTTTAACACCGCTTTTATCAATATTCCAGCAATATCACGGCGGGGGACACCAGAAATGGGCTTCACACATTGTACCCATGTAGGGAATTGAACCCGAGACTTCATAGTGACGAGCGAACGCTTTAACCACTGGGCTACCCCACCGCCCTAAAAAATGTTAGGACTAAAAAATAATGAAGTCAATGTACGTCTTTGCATTTCGTCTTATAATCTCATTAGTTTATTATCATATTTGTATGCATTTTGAAACTTAATAAAATGCACACGATTTGATTATACTTATTGTGAATTTTTTAACATGGCTGTAATATGTAGACATTTTATGGATTGCCAACATCGATTATATATTATTTCACACACAAGCCCAAAGTGCGACCAAGTGTATGTTGTCTGTTTCCTTAGACTTCATGCGAAAAAAAAATTGATTCTGTCTAATGCTACAGCGAATGAATAAAAACAAAATGCAAAGATTTAAATTAAAACAGACTAAAGTTACAGCAACAATGTCTGGCTATCTTACCTTGGTCGAGGGGCGGTGGGGTAGCCTAATAGTTAAAGCGTTGGCTCGTCACGCTGAAGACCCGTGTTCGAATCCCCACATGGGTACAATGTGTGAAGCTCATTTCTGGTGTCCCCTGCCGTGATGTTGCTGGAATATTGCTAAAAGCGGCGTAAAACCAAACTCAGTCAGTCAGTACGTTGGTCGAGGAATGTATCCATCAATATCCACATAAAGGAACAATATGCCATTCATATGCAGCTGACAAAGAATCCCACTCTATCATGTCATGTGTCTTGTAACAGTCTAATATGCAAAAAGTGATATATCCATTCGGGTTTTTCACACTGGTGTATAGTCCCATTTGTCACTCAAGATAGCACACCTGGCAACTAACTGCATGATGTCCGCCATTCTTTAAAAAATAAATTTGGTTAGCCAATAATGAGCAATCAATCACTTTACGACAGGGTATATTCAGTATAGATCTTCATACATAAACACTACCCTTTGACATATCCCCTTTGCAAGATAAAAGCAATTAATCAATCAGTTTGTTATCCTTTAATCCTTAGATCGATGTTTGTTTTATAACGCATCTGATAATTCCTCTTGCTGCACTTCCATGCGCATATTACATAACATGTAATACATTTGCCAAGTCAGACCTTAATTTATGATGTTGAGTATTTACTCCAGACATGAGAAAAGCCAAATGGGAACCTTTGTCCTGTAATCTGAGTGGTGTTGCCACTAATTATACCTGTTATAAATTCATTACTGACCATCAAGTGAATGATGACAAATAACATGTGTGGGTTTACCACGAAACAAGGCTAACAGCAAGGGAGTAGTAATCGTTGTATTGCATGGAATAGTGATTGCCTGAAAAAACCCTCATGGGCCGACACTGTTTTGAGAATACGAAGGGAACTTCATTGTTGCATAAGGAATAAATATATGCATTTGCTGTGTACTTAAGTTAAAAACTGTATATACCTATTTACCTAAGTAAATTTCAGATTTATTTTGCAAATAGCAAAGTGGGGTTGTTTAGTTTACGGATTCTAATACATTAAATGTGTGTTTTTAATATCACGACATAGGTAATAAACATCATATTTTTACATGATTGAATATCGAGGTAAAAAAATATTATACCATCCAGGCATTAGAAAATCTGAAAAAGTTTACACAGCTGGGATTCTTTATTACAATCAGACAAGAACTACCGGGCATATTTTCAAATAACGGGCATCCGCCCTGAATAGTGTCCCACTGTTTCGATTGAAGAAATTTTGCCAAGGTGGACCGTAGCCCAGTCCCTGAGTCAGTCACGGTCAAGGGAGCAGGTACTGACTAGCCTGTAGCTTAGTTTTGTAATTAGACTGTTGGCGAGAAACATTAATCGCTCTGGATAAGTGACCCTGAGTTGAGTCCCAGGAGGGATTCGAACACTCAGTCTCAGCATGAGGCACCTGAATGCCAGAATACTATGTCGCGATCTAACCCACTCAGCCACCATGGCTACTTTACTGAGAAAGTGTAATCCCAATTATAACATGTTGCATTTGCTGACTTTCTAAAGGGCATTGGGTATTCACGTCCAGTTTTGATGATAAACTGCTCATAAAAAGATTAGCGTGGGAAGAAAAACAACAAAACTTAGACATAAATCATAAAGGTTTGTTTACTATTAAAAGTAACTATTTCATACATAGATCTAAGTTAATCAAATAAATCAGTCATTAAAAATGATAATGTTTTCAAGCCTTGCTACAAAGTTTGTGTTTTGACCTGACAGCAGGCTAAACCACCACTGAAGCTGTGCAACTTGAATGCAGAAAGGTTTTTAACGAAAGTCCAGCATGTCCAGCAGACATGATATTTCTGATAAAATCTGAGGACATTAATTCATTTCTTTCACATGTGGTGCAAATACATATTTATATAATACATCCTCAACTCCGCTTAGAGCATGTCCCGGTGGCATGGAGTTCAGCACTATATACATGATGTAGGAGGCCAGTTATAATTATCATCATCAAATGCTCAATAGCCAGATAGTGCTATGAACATAGATTAGGCTTATATGGTATAAGGATTAATATGGTTAAGATCACCTAAGCCCTGAGATTGCTTTGTATAAGAACATATTTTGCTAACTTAATAACAGTATGAAACATTTTGATTCTAGCTTCACTCAATGTCTGATTGGTTAAATTCCGTTCGGTCATCTCGTGTTTGATTGGATGGTTATAGGTCGCGTAAAGGTTACCTAACGTGACCTTCCACAAGGTTTTGTTAGACTCAGTATAGCAGCGTAACGAATAATACTGAGGCTAAGTTTACTTAGACTGCAAAATGGATAAAGTGTTCAGTCATCACACCTATGACCGGGGTCCAATTCCCCTTATGGTAAAATGTGTAAGGTCCATTTCTGGTGTTGCCTGCTAGATGTTGCTGAAACTAAAAGTGGCATAAAACCATACTCACTCACACTATGAATGTTTCAAGATGGCACTTGTTGTTACCCTTCCTGGTGCCTGGCGGGGCGGAAGGGTAGCCTAATGGTTAAAGCGTTGGCTCGTCACGCCGAAGACCCGGGTTCAAATCCCCACATGGGCACAATGTGTGAAGCCCATTTCTGGTGTCCCCCGCCGTGATGTTGCTGGAATATTGCTAAAAGCGGGGTAAAACCAAACTCAGTCAGTCAGTCCTGGTGCCTGGCATTAGTGGATGAACAAGGATTGGTCAGGTCAGAGTGACATACTGTAAGTGTGGCATGGTATCTCAGTGGGGTAGATCTAATACACTTAATAGTGACCTATATTAGTCTAAATTATTACGAACAGACACGCACACACATGCACAATGCTATATTACACCAATAATTTTAAATGTGATATTTCACTTCATCTCTCTCTGATATGACTGTTTTGTCAGAATTCTCTCACTCAGTGTGGTGTATGTTCCAGGCAGCTGTAACAAGCCATCCTAGTCAGCATGAGCTTGGATGACAAGAGCACCCAAACAGCTGCAGCTGACTGGATCTTCTCTGAGGGATCTGTCTGCAACTTTATCATCAAACGCCGACCAAAGACATATGGCAACAAGACCTTCATCCAGCCCAAACCCACAACACCCAGTCCCATACGGGAACACAAGATCTTCAAGACCAAGAATCTTCGGCAGGAACAGGATAAGAAAAAAGATGATAAAACCTTGCATTTGTCAGTGACTCTGAAGGATAATCCTGTTAAAAGTTCTTTACCTACCAATGACAGCCAGTTGTTGAACCAGGTGAGCTACAGTTCTGAGAAGACCAATGCATCTTCCCAGGTTGACAGTGCTGAGCTCACTGCAAAGGTGGATCAGGGCACATCCACAACCAAGGCCAAACCGACCAGGCCTCACTGGTCAACTGAGCCAGGGTATCCGAAAATGCCGGTTCCACTGGCTGGCAACTCAAATCCATTCACCCCAATCATCAAGAAGGTCAACCGAGTGGCTGACTTTGTAAGTGATAATACAAGTGTGACTACATCTGGGACTCATCTTATGACAGGACGTTCCAAAATACCAGGACAAGCTTCTGAAAGTGTTTCCCCACAGTCAGATACTGCTGCTGGTGCTGATGCTGATGCTGATGATCCTCCTGAAGAACCTGCAGAGGTTCAGGATGAAGAACAGGATGATGCTGAAGAGGAAGAACCTCAGCCTGAAGCCAGTATGCCTAAAAGGCGTGGACGACCAAGGAAAAAGAAGGGTGTGGGTGCCAAGAAAAAATCCAAAATAAAAAAAGTAGAATCTGATGAAGAAACCACAGAACAGACTCCTGGACGAAAAATTTTGCCCAAGGTGCTGAAATGTAAAATTTGTTCAAGGAAGTTTTCGACTAAAAAGAATCTGAAAAATCATTCCAATGTTCACCTTGATAAGAAACCCTTCAGATGTGATGCCTGTGGTGCTGAATTTACTTTGAAGCTTAACGCTGGTGATCCACACCCGGCGCCACACTGGCTACAAACCGTTCAAGTGTAACAGCTGTGAGAAGTCCTTCACAAGGTCCACGGACCTCACCAAGCATGTGCGATTCACACAGGAGAGAAGCCATTTGAATGTGAAATATGTCACAAGAAGTTCACCTTAAACAGTCATTTGCGAGCTCACAATTTCATACACAATGGCAATAAGCCATACAAATGTGAGCAGTGTGGGGAAACGTTCATCTACCCAAGTCATTTGAGCAGGCACATGATAAGCCACACGGAAAACCGCCTTTAAATGCAAGCAGTGTAGTAAGAGTTTCAACAGAATGGATTCCCTGAAGAAGCACATGTGGACTCATGAAACTGACCGACCACATACCTGTAAACATTGTAAAACACTTTTACTCGCCTCGAATACCTGAAGTCTCACATGCGTGTACACACACGAGAACAGATGTGTCAGTGCTCTTATTGCAGCAAGGAGTTCACGGTGTGAGCAGCTTGAAGCGCCATCTGTTGTCGCGACACAGAGGAGAAGGTGTATCAGTGTTCCGTGTGTTCGCAGGGAGTTCACTCGTCTGTATGACTGGACCAAACACTCAATCATACACACTGGAGTCAAACCGCTTGAATGCACTGTCTGTGGCAAAGGCTTCACTGTGAAGGGCTCTAACTATACACTACAGAGCTCATTTTAAGCCAAGGAAAATTGATGAAGTTCGACATTAGACAATGTTGTGTGAGATGAAATTTGTTTGAGATAAAGTTTTTTGTTTTGGAAGAAAGTTGATGCTAATTTTAACATGTTTAAGAATCTCAGTGCTATAGTTCACATTTATGTGATGTAAGCATGGTAAATGGTGTATACCTCATTCACAGTTGTGTGCAATTTCAACATCAACCTGCGGTAACAGTAATTAAGAGTTCTTGTACAGAAATCAACTGTACATATTTATTTCAGATCTAATATATTTATTTGCATCATTAACTTTGGAGGCAATTTGAATTTTGATGATTAAAGTGAATGTCACTTACAGTATGAATCTGTGCAAACATTTTGCATTTTGTGTATTCTAGTCACAAGGGATTAAATTTATTGTTGGTATTCAAAGTCTGTCGAGACCACTGTTTATGAATATGCATTCAATGTTGTATATGTGTAGTTATGTGATTCTGCTGTTAATAAATGGGCCAAACCATCATTTGAGCCTGTTGTATATCAATTTGCATGTTGTATCCAAGAAGTGTTTGTTTCATTGACACTTGAATTAAGTCTGTGAACAACCTTTTGAGCAGCTTTCTTTGTCAAAGATAAAGAGACCATTTTACATCAACTATGACACACAGGGGCCTGTTTGAAGTATTGGATGTTTTTCATCAAAACCCTTCTCAATAGATACAAATGTGTATAAGTATCGGGAATGGTCTCTGATTTTAGGAAAGGTACAGATGGTCATCATTTTAATCATATTCCTGAAACTGACAACCCAACCCAACCCGGACCTTGAACCTGTCACAATTATAGATGTTTTGAAGGTAATTGAGAAAAACCCAACAACAACAAAACTAAAAAATATCAGGAGCCAGGTTGCTATTGATGTCTATTTTGGTGACCATTGTTACTGAAACTAGAATCTGACTTTTTGATTTGTCATTTCCTTCTTACCTTAAGTCAGGATTAAATTTGCCCCAAAGCAGTGACAACTTGAGAGTTACTTTAAACAAAGTTGTGCACTACACTTTACAATATTCCAGCAGAGACCATATAATAGATCTATTATATGGTCTCTGCTTCCAGCTATATGTTGATGGATTAACATCAAGATCATTGGTCCACACAAACGCCACACTCAGCAATATTCCAGCAATATGGCTGTAAATAATCAAGTTTGGACTAGACAATCCAGTGATCAACAGCATGAGTATTGATCTACGACGTGTCCACCAAGTCAGCGAGTTTGACCATCTGATCCCATCGGCCACCTCTGAAGTGACATTGGTTGTAGATCTTGACACTGGTTGTAAATCATTAATCGTTGTTATTGTAAATCAGCACACAGAATACTCTAACTGCAGAAAAATCCATGATTTGATGAATCCAAAAAAGCGTTCCTTTATCATTTTCCAGTTTTCGTCACCAGCTTTGAATAGGGCTGTGGTGATAAAAAATGGAAAATTATAAAGGAACGCTTGAATTTTTCTCTGATCCTTTATTTGTTTCTCTCAGTATATTTTAATGTTGATTACTGTGTGAGTTTATTTCACCGTCACGATCAGTTATGTCCCACTATATTCAGCTGAAGTTACACAATCAATCAATCAATCAATCAATCAACGTTATTGCCTGAAGTTTACAAATATATGCAAAACATTATGGGGGTGTTTTTTCAGAAATATATCACATTTGGGACTATTACTTGAAACAAATCCAGCAATTATCCAGCAAATATTGACTGACATAGATATGGTAATTGCTTTACATTTTCCTGATACTATTCTGAACCAGAAACAACATGCGCAGTTTGGTTTTATCAACAAGAGGTGATCTACCTGTTTCACCATACAGCATATATGTTGGGGGCTGCGTCTTAGGTTTAAGATATATCTAATAAAATCAGTTTGAATCCTTTCAAATCCTTTTATTTTTTATAATTTTCGAATCCCCCTATTTCGCTTCCATAGAGCAAAATAGGGCAGATAATATACAATCAAATAAAGTTTACAATCTGTAGACACATCATTGTTCCTTAAACGCTTGTACGACATTGCAGCATTGCTTTATTCGTCTGGCAATATTAGACTTTCTGGTATTTGAAGAAGAGCGATTGTTACACTGAAAACAACACCAATATATTTATATTGGTTTACAAGCTCCATGCTGTCAAATAATACCCCAATGCTCCAATAATAATGTCCTGTAGGGTTTTTGTTACAGAAGATTACGATTTTGGTCTTTTTAGTATTTTTGGATAATTTGTTTTTTAAACAATAGTTGTAAAAATTAACGAATTTTGTAATTCTTTGGATCATCTGATAATATGACAGTATCGTCATCATATGATAAAACAAGAAGTCGAACAAACATGTACATATTATTATCATCGAGTGTAACTGTTACACTGTCAACATTATTTCTAAGAGACGAATTTTCTAAATCATTTAAGTACAGTGCAAATAGTATAGGAGATAAATTTTCTCCTTGTCGTACACCATTTTTGCAATAAAAATACTGAGAGTTTTGGACATTGTGTTCTACACAAGATGTGATGCCTTGGTACATCGATTTGATTACATTGAATACATTACCATTGATATAGTAGTTACGAATTTTATCCAAAGAATTGGTATACTAACTAAAATCTATAAAGGCGCAAAATAGTTTGCTCTTAGTTTATTTTTGCAATATATATGAAAGAGTTTGAAGTGCATATATTGATCAATAATGGAGAAACCTTTCCTAAACCCAGCTTGTTTATCCAGCAGTACCTTCGTGTTTTCTACAAAAGCGGTTAGTCGATTGTTGATAATAGACGTAAACAGCTTTCCGATACAGCTTAAGAGCGTTATAGGACGGTAATTTGATGGATCATCTTGGTCACCTTTATTTTTAAATATAGGTTTTATGATGCCCACTAGCCACTTATCAGGAAACACACCCGACTGTAGGACAAGATTAAAACGTTTTTCATACATGGCGACAAGTATACATTTTGAAGACTTAATGTATTCATTATGCATATTCTCAGAGCCACAGGTTTTGTCATTTCAAAGATTATCTATTGCTTTTAATATCTTTCCTTGTGTGATTGTGTGTTGATTTCTTCGTTGATGTCGTCAAAAGCTTCCTCACCTACATCCTTGAAATAAACAAAACGCTTTTCGAGAGTAATTTGTCCATCTTACACCTGCAGTAAACAGCATGCGACTCGATCAATGTAGATACCACCAGTAAATCTTCCAGTCTATAACGATGTTTCGAAGGTGCAATGAGCGGTCTGATGCGGTCTGATACATTTGAGAGCCGATATTTTTCACATTTTGGAAGATCTCTGAATAAGACTCTGTATTTTTATTTCAATGCTAATTTCCTTCGTAGTCGCAGTGAATTAGTAACAATCAGTTGGTAATATTTATCCGACCACCGTAAATTACATCTTGTCCAGATACGATGAATATGTTTAGACAGTAATATAAATGATCAGTCATGCAATCATGGTAAATGTCTGGGAAATAGGATTTCTAACGAAAATAAAGGGAAATGTATCTGAGGCGTCCATTTTGTATTAAATATTTCCTGAAAAAAATGTTCTTGCTGATGAAAGGGGCACAACTCTTGCCAGTCAGGTGAGCCTGTATCATGATTGTTCGGCAATATTCCAGCTATATGGCGACGGTCTGTAAATACTCGAGTCTGGACCAGACAATCCACTGACAATCAACGTCATGAGCATCGATCTACGCATTTTACAGACAAATATAGTAAAATATATAAATTGTCCGTGGTCTTGATACGAGCATCTGTCAAGCATCTGTGAAGCATCATGCACAAAACTATAGTTTGGCATGAAATGCATGTGGACCCGGTTTTTTGTAAATATCTCTTCATCCAATGACCCAATCGATCTCAAACTGTGCAAGTGGATGTTTTGTCAGACAACCTAATCACATTGTAAATCACCGATTTTATGCATTTGTATTAAAGAATCTGTCTTTGTAACTGTCAACAAAATAATCAGCAGAACGCAGAAGGCTTGCAGAGGGAGGGAGCCAATGACCTGTAACAGCGGCAGTGTTGTGTCATAAAGGTCAATGCACGTGCAGTTCATGATAGCTACCTGTGCACTGCACAGTGATAGACCGTTTGGATCATTCACATTGACTACTTCTATCTGTCATCATGAAAGCTTATTCAGATGATGCCGAACGTTTAATTAGAACTGTGTTTATTTTTTTTTGAAAAAGAGAGCAAACGTAGCAAACCGATTTATAAGGTGTCTTACAACTTACAACTTTTGCTCTTGGCATGAAAAAGAACATCATGCTAAAAATTGTGCAAAATAAACCAACAACCAATAAACAAAACCTTCTACAAAAAGGTAGGCATCCAAAGTTAGATTCTTTTGAAATGAGGGTCATCAGAGATTCGCAGGCTATTTGCTAGAAATGAACACCTCTTCATACCTGTCACATGCATAGCTGACCTACATTGACGAACGTTGACCTTTATGACCCAACACTGCCGCTGTTACAGGTCATTGGCTCCCTCCCTCTGCAAACATTCTGCGTTCTGCTGATTATTTTGTTGACAGTTACAAAGACAGATTCTTTAAAACAAATGCATAAAATCGGTGATTTATAATGTGATTAGGTTGTCTGACAAAACATCCGCTTGCACAGTTTGAGATCGACTGGGTCATTGGATGAAGAGATATTTACAAAAAACCGGGTCCACATGCATTTCATGCCAAACTATAAATACGAAAATACATTTTGACTTCAGTATTCATCGTTTTTTCCCCATATTTCTCCGTGACAAGATTGGTGAAAACACCACATGAAGAATATAACAAATATATAGAAAATTAAAAAAATAAAACTCTTTCCATTAATTTCAGAGTAATTTTATTCAAATATTTAGAATATATTTATTAAACAAACGCTCAGTTATTTAAAATGTAATGATAGTGCATAAACATTCTCAGATAACACATTGATACTAAAGGTAAGTAAAGAAAACGCAGAGAATTATAAGAACGCCATGAGTTGGATAAACATGTAGCGTATTAAATCGGTTGTTAAACAATCCATTGCATTGCTTCATATACTATTACTCATCATACTCTTAGTCTCTCTCTCTTATATCTTACTGACCGCCTCCGTGGTGTAGTGGTTAGAGCGTCCGCCAGGAGAGCGGAAGGTCGCGGGTTTGATCCCTGACCGCGTCATACCAAAAGACGTTAAAATATGGTACTTGTTGGTCCCTGCCTGGCGCTCGGCATTAAGGGGTACAACAAGGAGTGGTCGGCTCGGAGTCAGTATAATGTGTCTGAGTGGGGTATTCATGCTTCACTGCAGCATGGTATCTCAGTGGGCTAGCACTATAAAACCAGCTCCAGTCTGGGCTAGTACAAGCAGCCGCACATACACATACACACGCATGCACGTCGTCATATGAGCGAAATATTCTCAAGCACGACGTTAAACCCAATTTCACCTCACCTCACCTCACCTTTACTCTCCCGCTCACCCTTAAACCTTCAACACATTGTACCCCCCCTAGTGCATATACACATTACTATTCAAACAAAGGTTCACTAAGTTTCCTGAATGATCGGTTTCTTCTTATTTCAAAACAGCAAGCAGTGCATACGGTTTAACGGACCTTTACAGAGCTCAGTTTCATGCAAGTCAGACTGACATTGCCGGAACACGATAACAGCTAGGTCAACGTGACTAGGTCAACTAATGCACCTATACCGGGTTGTTGTAAATCACCGCGTCTGTCCATATCAGATTTCTCTATATCTACTTTCGTATTGCCTTGTTCACTTACGATTGCAACCCACGAAAAAGTATTTGAACAGGTAATATTTTTCTCGTAAATATGACTCACCACAAGTGTACGGGGTTTGTCTATTGTTTCGGTTTAGGCTCCGTCAACAACATTCAAGCTGTACCATGATAGACATTAAAAACGTTTAGTTTTACAACAAGTAGTAGCAGGTGATAACAAAAGTATGTTGTAAGAATGAAACTCGACACAGAGCACCTCACCGCGTGTTCTATATACCATACTCATTAGGGGTGACAACTGAGGGGGAAACAACTATTGCGATAGCGATAGTCTATTACGACCAACTATTACAATACTATCGCAATATTTTTCTCCTTGAATAATCTCATTTGAAGTCATTTCCCAAATGAATGTATAGTTTATATGAAATAAAAACAAGCTGAAGTAGTTTCAGTCTGACAAGAAACTTGAAACCTAGATCAAGTAAACAGTTTACAAAAACTCAATGAAGGTGCAAGTCTGCACCCAAACATCCTGTATTTTCATGCATCCTGCATTCATCAACCGAAGTGAAAAACTAAACTATCGATAGTCCCCCATACTATCGATGCATCGATAGTTTTTCGTTTCTACCATCGATTAATTGCTGTCGGAGACTCGACAATTGGAATCCATCGATAGTTCGATGCATGGTTACCGCCATAATAATCATACAAACTACAGCTACTATTGCATACCATTTGATCTTTTGAAGCATTAAATGACATTAACATTCCCTTTAGAATCAATCATTGGTTATGTCACAGAGATGTTTAATAGCTCTCTGTTCTGACAGATTATTATCTAACAAAACACACAACTTTATGGATAACTATGTTGTTTATTGCATATTGCGACGTTTCGATATAGATTCTTTTACACTATCATCACACTAAAGGTGACTGAAACAAGGCGCTGAAAAATATACATGCATTATGGAGAGTCCGGATTTGACAGATTCCACTGTACATGTATTATGGAGAGTCCGGATTTGACAGATTCCACTGTACATGCATTATGGAGAGTCCGGATTTGACAGATTCCACTGTACACGTATTATGGAGAGTCCGGATTTGACAGATTCCACTGTACACGTGTAATGGAGAGTCCGGATTTGATATATTCCACTGTACATGTATTATGGAGAGTCCGGATTTGACAGATTCCACTGTACATGTATTATAGAGTCCGGATTTGACAGATTCCACCGTACATGTATTATAGAGTCCGGATTTGACAGATTCCACTGTACATGTATTATGGAGAGTCCGGATTTGACAGATTCCACTGTACATGTATTATGGAGAGTCCGGATTCGACAGATTCCACTGTACATGGATTATGGAGAGTCCGGATTTGACAGATTCCACTGTACATGGATTATATGTAAAGACAAGCAGTAGATTGACAATAACAGGTAATTGATAATAAGTGTCACATGATTGAAGCCAGGTGGAAAGTATGAGCAACAAATATTACAACATTTGAGTGGCATTCTAGAAGTTGGTTGTATAGAGATGACAAAAGCTTTTGGATGAACAGCTTCTTTATTTTCACATTAGTGACGTTTCGGTATAGATTCTTATACCGTTTTCAAACATGCTTAAAAACGGTAAAAGAAGCTATACCGAAATGTCGCTATTGTGAAAATAAAGAAGTTGATCACCCATAAAGTTTTGTCATTCCCGCTGTGCATGGTGAACATGTTCCTACCCGACTGCCTTATGTGAAGGTGACACGATACTTTACGACATACGACAGTAGGCTACACACATACATGTAACACATATCCTCCTATGTACCTGGGGGGTACTGGACCTGTCCGATGTTTAACTATTTACAAGTCATGTGAAGGGTAAGTTGGAAACACTCTTCTGTGCCATAACTGTTCTTTACTCCATGTTTTCTGTTTCTCATTTTGATAAAGTTATTATTTTAAAAGAAATAAACCGCTCCTGAGTTTATGTTTCATATTTTCCAGATAATACCGTGTAATTACGCGTACGTATAAAATGCTATCTCATCTGGAAACAGAAAGTGGTATATGTGTAATGATATATCAGTATGTGTAGTGTAGTGGTTATTGTAGTGCGTGGTGTAGTGTAGTGTAGTGTAGTGGTATATGAGTAGTATAGTGTAGTGGTACATGTGCAGTGTAGTTTAGCGGTACATGTATAGTCTTGTATAGTGTAGTGGTACATGTGTAGTCTTGTGTAGTGTAGTGGTACATGTGTAGTCTTGTGTAGTGTAGTGGTACATGTATAGTCTTGTATAGTGTAGTGGTACATGTGTAGTCTTGTGTAGTGTAGTGGTGCATGTATAGTCTTGTATAGTGTAGTGGTACATGTGTAGTCTTGTGTAGTGTAGTGGTACATGTGTAGTCTTGTGTAGTGTAGTGGTGCATGTGTAGTCTTGTACAGTGTAGTGGTGCATGTGTAGTCTTGTGTAGTGTAGTGGTACATGTATAGTCTTGTATAGTGTAGTGGTACATGTGTAGTCTTGTGTAGTGTAGCGGTACATGTATAGTCTTGTATAGTGTAGTGGTACATGTGTAGTCTTGTGTAGTGTAGTGGTACATGTGTAGTCTTGTGTAGTGTAGTTGTGCATGTGTAGTCTTGTGCAGTGTAGTGTAGTGGTACATATGTAGTCTTGTGTAGTGTAGTGGTGCATGTATAGTCTTGTGCAGTGTAGTGGTACATGTGTAGTCTTGTGTAGTGTAGTGGTGCACGTGTAGTCTTGTGTAGTGCATTGGTACATTTGTAGTCTTGTGTAGTGTAGTTGTGCATGTGTAGTCTTGTGCAGTGTAGTGTAGTGGTACATATGTAGTCTTGTGTAGTGTAGTGGTACATGTGTAGTCTTGTACAGTGTAGTGGTACATGTGTAGTCTTGTGTAGTGTATTGGTACATGTGTAGTCTTGTGTAGTGGTACATGTATAATCTTGTACAGTGTAATGGTGCATGTGTAGTCGTGTGTAGTGTAGTGGTGCATGTATAGTCTTGTGTAGTGTAGTGGTACATGTGTAGTCTGGTGTAGTGTAGTGGTACATGTGTAGTCTTGTGCAGTGTAGTGTAGTGATAGATGTATAGTCTTGTGTAGTGTAGTGGTACATGTGTAGTCTTGTGCAGTGTAGTGTATTGGTACATGTGTAGTGTAGTGGTACATGTGTAGTGTAGTGTATTGGTACATGTGTAGTGCAGTGTATTGGCACATGTGTTGTGTAGTCTAGTGGTACATGTGTAGTCTAGTGGTACATGTGTAGTGTAGTGTAGTGGTACATGTGTAGAGTAGCGTAGTGGTACATGTGAAGTGTAGACTGATTTGGGGAACACTTCCGAGTCTATAATTTACAATCAAATACAGTTGGTATTTTGGGTAAGATTCGTAAAGTGACACCAGTAAGAAAGACACTATTCCGTTTCATGCTCAGTTCAGTTTCGGTGAGAATGTGTGTGCTGGTGAGAATGTGTGTGCTGGTGAGAATGTGTGTGTTGGTGAGAGGTGAGAACGTGTGTGCTGGTGAGAATGTGTGTGCTGGTGAGAGGTGAGAACGTGTGTGCTGGTGAGAACGTGTATGCTGGTGAGAACGTGTGTGCTGGTGAGAATGTGTGTGCTGGTGAGAACGTGTGCCCTGTTGAGAATGTGTGTGCTGGTGAGAACGTGTGTGCTGGTGAGAACGTGTGTGCTGGTGAGAACGTGTGTGCTGGTGAGAATGTGTGTGCTGGTGAGAACGTGTGTGCTGGTGAGAATGTGTGTGCTGGTGAGAACGTGTGTGCTGGTGAGAATGTGTGTGCTGGTGAGAACGTGTGTGCTGGTGAGAACGTGTGTGCTGGTGAGAATGTGTGTGCTGGTGAGAACGTGCATGCTGGTAAGAGGTGAAAACGTGTGTGCTGGCGAGAGAACGTGTGTGCTGGTGAGAATGTGTGTGCAGGTGAGAATGTGTGTGCTGGTGAGGAATGATGTGCTGGTGAGAATGTGTGTGCTGGGGAGAACGTGTGTGCTGGTGAGAATGTGCATGCTGGTAAGGGTGAGAACGTGTGTGCTGGCGAGAACGTGTGTGCTGGTGAGAATGTGTGTGCAGGTGAGAATGTGTGTGCTGGTGAGAATGATGTGCTGGTGAGAATGTGTGTGCTGGGGAGAATGTGTGTGCTGGTGAGAACGTGCATGCTGGTAAGAGGTGAGAACGTGTGTGCTGGCGAGAACGTGTGTGCTGGTGAGAATGTGTGTGCAGGTGAGAATGTGTGTGCTGGTGAGAATGATGTGCTGGGGAGAATGTGCGTGCTGGGGAGAACGTGTGTGCTGGTGAGAATGTGTGTGCTGGTGAGAATGTGTGTGCTGGTGAGAACGTGTGTGCTGGTGAGAACGTGTGTGCTGGTGAGAATGTGTGTGCTGGTGAGAACGTGCATGCTGGTAAGAGGTGAAAACGTGTGTGCTGGCGAGAACGTGTGCTGGTGAGAACGTGTGTGCTGGTGTGTGCAGGTGAGAATGTGTGTGCTGGTGAGAATGATGTGCTGGTGAGAATGTGTGTGCTGGGGAGAACGTGTGTGCTGGTGAGAATGTGCATGCTGGTAAGAGGTGAGAACGTGTGTGCTGGCGAGAACGTGTGTGCTGGTGAGAATGTGTGTGCAGGTGAGAATGTGTGTGCTGGTGAGAATGATGTGCTGGTGAGAATGTGTGTGCTGGGGAGAATGTGTGTGCTGGTGAGAACGTGCATGCTGGTAAGAGGTGAGAACGTGTGTGCTGGCGAGAACGTGTGTGCTGGTGAGAATGTGTGTGCAGGTGAGAATGTGTGTGCTGGTGAGAATGATGTGCTGGGGAGAATGTGCGTGCTGGGGAGAACGTGTGTGCTGGTGAGAATGTGTGTGCTGGTGAGAACGTGTGTGCTGGTGAGAACGTGTGTGCTGGTGAGAACGTGTGTGCTGGTGAGAATGTGTGTGCTGGTGAGAACGTGTGTGCTGGGGAGAACGTGTGTGCTGGTGACTGCAGCCCCGAGACAGCTTGACTGTTTCCTCCTGTCGCGTTTATTGTAATCCTTACCCACACGTTAACCTATTAACAAACAACCGCATGCCATATAGTTTTAACAAAGGGTCACAGCGCTTACTACAGAATGTTTAATGCAGTGAAAACAATTTCCTGAATGGAACTGACTATCGTAGGAAATATATGTCAAAGGAAAAAACAGTCTTCAAAATGACAATCTACTGATGTCCATGAAGCATGAACATGGGAAGTGTTGTGGATCAAATGCTAGTTCAGAAGTCAGTTTTGACATGGCCTCCACTAACAGCGACACAAGTTTGACAACGACTCACCAATAACGACATACCATGGTCTGGGGAAAGCTTGTGGGATAATATCCCTGCTATGGACCCAGACCTGTCGCAGACTTTAACAACGTCACCGATGGGTTTTGAAGTCGGATTGCATGACGTTTCTTTTAATCAACACTTGCGATAGATCAGGCAACAGCAGGCCAAGGAAGCAAGGGCAAATTCTATTTTCCAAACTTGAGGCTTACATTGGCCTGCTGTAAACTGGCATGGCGACGAGTTCGTCATGGTTTCCTACACCTGTCAAATTGCCACCAATGACAACACGGGGGCGTCTGTGATGTCCCCTTGCGTTGTGTACTGTGACAGTGGCACTGGCGACTTCTACCGAATATCTTATTTATACGTTAAAAATGTGAAGTGAAATAAATGTACATGATCGATATTTTGTCATTTTGGGTGGTAGTAGTAGGGTAACCTCGGGAAACCTAGTGGCCAATCACATTAAAGATTCAGGTTCAGTTCTTATTGGTACTTTGAGTGAATGTATTCTTATCACAAGGATATTACTAAAGCGGAGTAAAGCTGATCTCACTCACTCACCCACCCACCCACTTTGCATTGTAATGAAACGCAGAGCATTTATGTAGGACACGAAGCTTACACTAACATGGAGTCACTCTCCGCCTCAGGTGTTACATGTGCCTGTACATACAGAGCAGAGTGCTGACCTAAAATCAGTCAGTAGAAAATCTCAACCACAGTGTACACACTTTAGTCTGTCAGTTGTTGTTGGTATCGAATAGCTGAACCTGCTTTAACAGACCTCCGTGTACATGATATCAGCACAAGGAATGATCTTTACAAAAAACCGTCAGGAAACAGGGAGCAAATATCTGTCCAGGCATGCGTGTCACGTGGTGTGGTGTTACTGCTCATGTAGGAATTTAATGTAACAGTCAGCACATATGTACCAGCGGAAAAAAGAAACTGCACACACATGCACATACACATCATATGCACATACACACATGACACTCACATATACACATCCCACTCACACACACATCCCACTCACATACAAAGCACACTCATATATACACTTCAAACTCACATATACACACCACACTCACATATTCACACCACACTCACATACACACATCACACTCACACATCACACTCACATATTCACACCACACTCACATATTCACTCCACACTCACATACACACATCACACTCACATACACACATTCCACTCACATACACACATCACACTCACATATTCACACCACACTCAAATATTCACACCACACTCACATACACACATTACACTCACATACACACATCACACTCACATATTCACACCACACTCACATATTCACACCACACTCACATATTCACACCACACTCACATACACACATCCCACTCACATACAAACATCACACTCATATTTGCCCATCACACTCACATATTCGCACCACACTCACATATACACATCACACTCACATATTCACATCATACTTACATATTCACACCACACTCACATATTCACTCCACACTCACATACACACATCATTCACATCACACTCACATACACACATTCCACTCACATACACACATCACATATTCACACCACACTCACATATTCACACCACACTCACATACACACATCACACTCACATACACACATCACACTCACATATTCACACCACACTCACATATTCACACCACACTCACATATTCACACCACACTCACATACACACATCACACTCACATACAAACATCACACTCATATTTGCCCATCACACTCACATATTCGCACCACACTCACATATTCACACCACACTCACATATTCACACCACACTCACATACACACATCACACTCATATTTGCCCATCACACTCACATATTCGCACCACACTCACATATACACATCACACTCACATATTCACATCATACTTACATATACACATCACTCACATACTCACACCACACTCACATCACACTCACATACAAAGCACACTCACACACATCACACTCACACATACACATCACACCAGAGACACACATCACACTCACATACACACACACACTCACACTCACATATCACACATTCACACCACACTCACATACACACACCACGCTCACATACACACGCATCACACTCACACACATCACTCACACATACACATCACACCACAGATACACATCACACTCACAAACACACACCACACTTACATACACACACCACTCTTACACACATTACACTCATCACACACATCACACACACACACCACTCTTACACACATCACACTCACATACACATAACCGGCACATACATACACACACCACACGCGCGGACACACACACACACACACACACACACACACACACACACACACACACACACATACAGTCTTTCACACATAGCTGTACAAAGATAATCGTTCTATTCCTTAAACAATCATAGTTTCCATGCAGTGACGCATATAACCAAACATGTATGATTCTGCATGTCCCAGACTATTCAAGAGTGGAAACAACGTTTAGATTCAATTGCCAAAAGGAATATTCATTCTTAGTAGTAAAACAGTAAAGCAAAAAACTCCAGTCTCATGTCTTATCGGGAAGCATGAAGTGGGGGGCTGACGTGAAGCACACTGATATATTACTTCGTGTGACCCGCTCCTGAATTACACAACTAGTCGTAGACTTTAACCCTGATGACGCAAGCCCTGAACTTTGGTCACACAAAGCTGACTGTACTCGTGTCTCGGGGAAAATAGATTCTCAATTACAGACTATATCTGCTGCTGACAATGTATGACACCAGTATGAGTATGACTTCTAAACAGCATCTCGCGGTCCCTCACCAATAAAATAAAACGAAAATACAAAAACAACTTATCCATTCTTGATAAGGACACATTCACTCTAATTCATAGAAATTGTCAGGTGTTTCTGAAATGACTGGAGTTTAGTCCTTCTAACTAAACGCAGATCTTCTCAGTGTGACAATACAATTGTAAAATGTAATTGGAGCACAACCTGATGAAACCGAAACTGTTTCATTATCTCAATGATACCGAAATACCTTCAGCTTGTTGTAGGGGTGTAAAGATAACTGATCATTCATCATGGTGCAGTGAATCGACAAATATTTTTACTCATCTAAAAACAATGTACTGAATGACTTACTCAGGACATACTGTTACAGCTGTTCAGTTTCAGTTCATCTGAAAGTTCAGTATGCATTGTCTGTTGACACAATAGTTAGGTCAAAGTTTCCCATGACGGGATACTCCAGTCTTGACAGTGACTTCCATGTCGGGAAGCAAATGCAAATTTTTAATGTATAAATTTTCTGACAAGCCCCTTCGTCCCCACGCCAGGAAGATTTTCCACCTTATAGACCTGCTGACTTTATATAACCTTGTCAACAAGTTGGAGCCTGTACCTTAGCAATATTTCTCTCGATAAGAAATACGTTGATATGGGCTCCCCGAGTGTGTGCCTTATTTAACTTTTATGTCACAGTCAACAATAATCGAGCTAAAGCCAGACCGTCTGTAAACAATCGAATCTGAAACAGGAGGGGTCGGGACAGACACATTATCAGCCGAGTGACTCAATCTGATCTCTCAATCGCGTTATGTTTCAACGACAAACATAAGCGTACTTGTGGCCTATTCTGACTCGAGTGCCAACACACTGCACATGACACACGATACCTTTCATGCATGTACAGGTTGCGTGTGGAAAGAAATACATTTTGAGCTTTTCAGTTAAGTCATAGCTCTATTGAACTGTAATTGATCGTCATGAAATAATCATTTAGAGTCATTCTTGTAGTTTAAAAAATTAGCACACGTATACAAAGTTATATGTCATGACATATCATCTCTTATGACAGTATCATCTTTACCTATCGTGAATTGTGAAAAGGGGGCACATTTGACTGCCTACCTCAAGGGCTCCCACTTGTGATAAGAATATCATTTAACAACAGGTTACACATATATAACGTATGTTCATGCTCCGCAAGCGTATAATGCGTAGATTTTCTTCTACGATTCGTGTTCGTTATAAGACGATAAAGTTGTCTAACGGGTCCTTATTCATGAAGACTTGGCTATTCAGGTAATAGATTTGTGCTAAAACATTAAGTATCAACCCCTCATTCTAAACTAATATAAAGTATCTCTGAATGTTTTGTATCTTTACTCGCGACCACCTGTTCCAAAGTACTTCCGAGTCTTCCAGGTAAGTGGGAAGTAATTACAAAGGTGATGTTGGTGTCAAATGACATTTATTTAAAAGAGATCATTTTGGCATTATGTAAGTACGGGTAGACATGCTAAAGTTGAAAGTGTATTACTTGTTTATATGTACATATATAATTCATCGATATTTTGAAAATACTTTTACATTATGTGCAAAATTAGGTAAAGTAAAGCTGGACAATTAAATAAAGTATCATAACATATTCATAATCATCACACATTCTCAGGGCACCTGGGCTTACAGGTCAGTTTATAGATTTATGTTATAACACTGAACGTCGTGACATTAAACAGTAGACGTTACGTCCGCCTTCGCTTCAATGACATTACTTTCACTTTTCTTGCACACATGGTTGATGCACATCAATGCGGTGGCGATGAAATCCAAAGTAAATGTGAATAGAGGCATCCACTAAAATCGAAATATTTGTAGCATTAATTGATATTGAGAACATAAAATAAAATTTTACAAATTATGTAACAGTCTTAATGAATATATCATGTTACAAGCAGTGTTGAAATTATATATGCATACACACACACACACAGACACAGACACATACACATATATATATATACATAAACGCTAAAACTACTTTCAGTTTGTTACTTTGAGTATTTTCAGGTTAAAGTGTCTGAACCTGTAATGTCTGTTACATGCCATAAGCCTCTATGGTTTTAAATTGATTACAGAAATGTTTTAGTCCACGTGTATGACACACTAATACCGACGCAGATTCATAAGAGAATAGCCACAGAGCTCAATGATAACAAATACAGTGTATTAATAAGAAGCATGTAAAGTAACGCGGTAAGGTTCAACACCATACAAACTAAGTAGATCAAAGTAAAACGTATTTACATGAATGTAAGCAAGAACAAAGGATGGTCATATATACACATATTCAGATATGTATCTGTGTTGTAAATATCTATGACGCACCACACTGTGAATAAAATCAGTACGACGTAGTATAATCAAGAAAATCTAGCTCAAAGGGCTAAAAGAACATAACTTAGTAATTCATTTCACCTTTTAGCTGGACTTATCACCGAGCATCTTTACTCATTTAGTTCCACATAACCTAGCATCTTTACTCATTTAGTACCACATAACCTAGCATCTTTACTCATTTAGTACCACATAACCTAGCATCTTTACTCATTTAGTACCACATAACCTAGCATCTTAACTCATTTAGTACCACATAACCAGAAATAGTCCCCAACCCCCCACCCCTAAAGCCAATGGCTGCATTACTAAAAGCATTACATACTTTTCTGATAACACGATTCTGCACAATATCTTAATATTCAAATAGTTAAAGGTCTCTGTGGAACTGCCAATCGCATTTGCCCGTGCACAGGGGTCAGATATTTACCATGTTGATAAGAACCATCAACAACGACATCATTCACTAAGTGTGAATATGACACGGAATATCCAAAATTACTTTCTGGGGTTGACTGATACCCGAGCTCCGAGTATTTTATTTCCTTCGGGTGGTCAGCCAAGGCGTGAACGGCAATATTTGCATCTTCGTTTTTGTCACTGAGTTGCTGCTCCAAAACTGCGGAAGTACCGTTGTCGCTAATTTCATTATAAATATGTAGAGTTTCATATTGAGGAGAAGGTGTGTTTCTATCATCCACCGGAACTGCCCTCAAGGTCCTGTCGCGTTGGAGAAGCCTATTGTAGACAAATGACCGACATTCTATATAGATGTTGGTTAAAAACAATAAACATATATAATACCGAGACAGTATAACAGCTTACGACTGCAACAAGCATAGGTTTATATCGGTGTAGTGTTCATTAGTCGAGCTGGAGATGACGTAATCCCAAAATTGGATGTAAACTACTGTTTCCGGACATGACCTTAAGAGTGACATACAAATTTGTCACATAAATTCCTATCGCCATGTATGTGTTTCCATTGACAAACTAAAGAACATCTTATAACTATCCACATTTACCAAGATCTGCCTCTTTAAAAAAACACGCCAACTAAAAGTCACAAAAACGGCTTCGTAATATCAAATCCAATGATTCTGCAAAGATGTATTTTGGAACAGAACAGTTCTTTCGGTAGGCTGTTAAAGGAATATGCAACATAACAAGAAAAGTATACATACACAAAACAAATAAGGAAACTAACCTCTTCCTGTTCATTCTCTTTCGACAGTAGAACAGAGCTGCCAGTAAGATACAAGAAGCAAATATCAGTGCAGCAGTTAGGGTTCCACCCAGGAAAACATTAGTAGATTCTGTAGAAGAAAGTATTACAGAATTAGTGTCCCCCTTTGACTTGCATCTATATGTTTCATATAGAGTATTCCCGATGTCAGTCATAAATGAGAAATCATCCCGTAACCCATATCAAATATCATAAACCGGGAAGGAATTGAGACACCGCTTGACATATAAGGAGGATCAGTCACCTTGCAACCTTTTTTTCTGTAAATAAAAACAATAAAAATAAAAGTAGTGCCACCCCCATCCCACTCCGAACACGTGCAGAGAGATTTTTAAAGAGAATGTTTTATGTGCCTAACGGAAGTATATGCACTTCTGGCGCTTGATGACATTTTCTTTGAACTGTGTAGAGATCGTGATTGTATTTAATAAAAATCCAATTATATGCGTGCATAATCTATTTATAGATGCTGAGTTATCATGCATTCTGAATCTCGTCTAATTCCAACAGCAAATACTGAAGTTACTTTGTATGCTTTGCTGAAACCCAAATCACATGGGGTAACCTTGACCTTCAATATCATTCAATCATATGTAAACTCCCAAGACTGCTTAATAATTCCATTGATTATGTGCAAGACGGGGCAAGACTGATGAAACAGAATGTCCTACGTGAAAATGACAAATGTTTATATAAACGCTCGCTACACAAGACTCGCAGAATCATTTCTGTGATAAGTGTTCGTATCATCCCGTACTGCATGGGTACGTACATCTTTCACTGTAATGACACTGTTCATTTATGAACAAAAAGACGACGGAGCATTTTTCTGATTACACTGCAAGTCCGTAGGCTATATACATGTATGACATTGCAAGAACAACTGTAGCTCAATCGTTTGAAACCAGCTTACCTGTTTCACATACGTTCTTTGTCATACAGTCCGCTAAGGAACAGTCATTGGCACAGTCATGTTCACATCTGACGCCACCAAAACTAGCCTCGCATCCTTTGGTACACGCACCTGTCGACTGATGGCACAAGCCATCCAGGCATCTTTGACATGAGTGGTCGCAGAACTCTCCGTATGACCCATTTGTACATCCACTGGTGCATGGTCCATTCGTGGAGTTGCACAGCTGATTGACACATTTAGCAGGACATGGCACACAGTCTGTTCCATAATATCCAGGTGAACAGCCCTCAACACAGGCTCCAGTAGCACCACATTTACCATACAGGCATCTGGGATTGCATTGGAGGGAACAGTTAGAACCATATCTTCCATGGACACATCCGTGTGTACATGCACCCGTCACTTTGTTACATTCACCTGGACAATTGTTGGTCTTTTTAGGAGCTGAACAGTTGCTTGCAACGGTAATCGGATTAGGCTGACAGTGAATACTGCACTCCTCGTCACAATACTTGCCATAAAATCCTGGTACACAACCATGCTGACATCCATTGTCACATCCACTAGAGCTCCAAACAATGGCCGCAGGTGTGTTCACAGGACGGTCCAGCATAAGGCGGATAACACTTCTCACAATGTCCTGTAATCCTGTTGCAGGATTTACATCTGCTTGAACAGTTCTTGCAGTCCGAACCATAATAGGAACCAACGCACCCAGAAACACAAGTTGAATCTGTCTGACAATATCCGCCATCACACACGTGTGGACACTTTGTACATCCGACCCCTGGGGAATCACATTGGTCAGTGCATTTTCGGCCCTGATACCCTGGTATGCAACCCTCCGTACATACCTGAAGACCTCGCTCGTTCAGAGTACAAAGGCTCTTCTTGCAGCCTCTGCTGCAGAGCGAACTGCACATGAGATCAAAATAGCCATCCTCGCAACCAGTGAGACAATGTCCTATCACCTCATGACAGTCTGAGCAGTGTTTCTTCTCTCCACACGTTGCAGCTGTAATGTGAGCAGGTTTACTCATATATTAGTTTATGTTCATATCATGTGATGCATGTAACTAGTGCAAGCATTATCTGAATATATGCGTGGAGTTTAGGTACGTTTAACAAATGCAACAAACATGATAGTATCCTATATTAAGGATTCGTGGGGTATTATACTGTTTAGGTCACATCATGCAAAGAAAATCAGCAGGAGCATCATCCCCAATTCCTGCTTGTTCATTTAACCGGAAAGTAGTCGACAACCAAAGTAATAATAAGTAATCGGACATGCATCTGGTCATTGGTCCTTGGTTAAACTTGGTGATGTCTTTCAATCAGAAGCTTCAGGTCAACAGATTTAACAGGGCCAATTATTTCGTTATTTAGCAGACATATCCATGGGTTACATGATTCGTATTTTCTATTCGAAAACACTTTTAATACACAATATGTTTTTAAATATCTTAGAAAGTATTTCAATATGATAGAAACTTACCTTTTAAGGTGATTGGGAAATTAGTAATGACAAGTAAAAGCAACAAATCCATCTGTGCCTGAAAAGAGACAGTAACATGTAAATATAAGTTGAATATGCGACCATCGAGCATAAAAACTGAGCCAATAAATTTGCTTTATAGCATGCAGTATCATGTAATTATGGCTCATATACTCACGAGTAAGGTAGTTTCCTCCCTATTTCCCATGTACACCCTCCACAAGCAACGGTGGGTCGGCGTATGGCCCAGTAATGATGTGATTCACATGCTCGGGTTTACAGTTCAGGTTTAGGTTACAACTTCCTTCCCGACACGAGAAAGTTACAAATTCATTTGACTATAATACCAACAAACAGGAAATATATACTGAGTCAAAAAAAGAAACTTCACAAAATATAATTTGAAAAATAATGAATAATTTTTCTCTGATGATACATCTATGTATCCGAAATGGGATCCCTATCTTTCGACTCTAGAAAAACGTTAGCAAAACCCACTAAAACCCATCCATTCGTAGTGCAAATGACGTTAGTGCCAAATCAGGTTTTGCACGTGCAGTCGATCACGTGATCTTCGCATGGAAGTTTTCTCTATATGCACGTGTTTGCATTGGCCTCAAGAATTTAAAAAAAACATTTTTAAACCACAGTTCTAACGGTACTTGAAATGCCACGATTGTCAAATGTGCAACCTGAACGTTGGCATGTTGCAAGCGGGAAGATCAGTTATTGACGTTGCAAGAGCAATGGGATGCAGCCGTCGTACTGTGTATGACTTGCGAGGTCGTCTACAACAAACTGGCACCACTTCTGATCGCCCAACGTCGGGTCGTCCACGTGTGACGTCACGAGCAGAAGACCGTCAAATCGTCCTACGTCACCTACGTGACAGATTTCTGCCGGCTACACGAACCAGGGCTGAGATGTTTAGAGGTCGACTGTCCTCACAGACCATTCAAAATCGGTTGCGGGCTGCCAATCTCCATTCTCGACGTTCATATCGTGGGCCAATATTGACGCCGTTTCATCAACGTCAACGTCTGCTGTGGGCCCGACGTCACCTCTGATGGACCCAGAGAGACTGGAATCGAGTCGTCTTTAGCGATGAATCCAGGTTTACCCTCAGATTCGCGGACGGCAGGCATAGAGTCTGGAGACGACGTCGTGAACGGTATGCCCAATGTTGTGTACAGGAAGTCGACAGATTCGGGGGCGGAAGTTGCATGGTGTGGGCCGCTTTCTGTGGGAACAACCGTTCCCGACTTCTGGTCATCTGTGGAAACCTCACAGCTGCTGCTTACCGCGACCAGGTGCTCACCCCTGAACTCGTTCCTTTTATGGCGGCTCATGGCCCAGGTCTACAGTTCCAGCATGATAATGCTCGGTCGCATACCGCGATGTTGACACGAAATTTCCTTCAAAACGCTGGAATCAACGTCATGGACTGGCCATCGAGGTCCCCTGACCTTAATCCAATAGAGCACGTTTGGGATGCACTTGGGAGAAGGCTTCGTGGTCTTAGGAATCAACCTCAGAATTTGCAGGAACTTGGGGCTGCCTTGCAAGAGCAATGGCGCAGAATCCCCAACCACGTGTTCACAAGCATCAGGCAGTCGATGAGGAGACGGTGTTTGGCAGTGGTGAATGCGCGGGGCGGCCATACACGATATTGAACTGAGAAATTTCGCATTTTTATTCTTGTGACTTGACATTCTGTATACCCATGTTTTGGAACGGCGGTGTAGCCTAATGGAACTGATTATGGCACTGTCAGTGTATCGAGTACATCACACAGATCTCAGCAATGAAATAATAACAATTTAACCATCTTACCAACTCTTGTTCTTTTATAGTGCCCTGAAGAAAGAATGTGAAGTTTCTTTTTTGACTCAGTATAGATATAACTGTCACTGTCAACGGTATGTTCCACAGCGTGGTCAACTACCCAAAATTCCCAAACCACCACCACAACCACCACGACAGGATCGGGTTGTGGGTCGGGGGTGGGTTTCACCTCTTGACTCGAGAAACTAGTGTCAATTGTGTGTGTGTGTGTGTGTGTGTGTGTGTGTATATATATATATATATATATTTATATATATTGTATTTGAATATTAACATTTGACAGACATAATGGTTTGCAGAGACTAATCAACGTTCTTTGAAAGTGGTAAAATCATGAATAACTTCCAATTTATGGCTCTACCGTGTGCTAATTAACGAACGTTCTTCTTGAATAAGATATTTACAACACCAATATTTATTGTAGTACTCTGTATTAAAACTTGTTTTCATGATCTTTATATCTTCTCATGCCTTTATATATTTTGTCTGCCTTTATATATTTTGTCTTCGCAGCCCAAAGAAGAGAGATGTCGTGAAAAACAGAGAAATGATGATACCATGTATTTAGAATATATGCTTCTTGCCGTTATTCTATGTGAGTAATTGTTTTAGTAATTCTCATTGTAGTTATCGAGATTTCTTATGGATGTGGAAAGGGTTTTTGCCGCTTCTATTATATATTAACATAATGCAACAAAACGGTTTAAATATCCATAAGAAATCTAGGACGGAAGTTGCTGTGAAGAGAAATATCTTCCATGATCATGGAAGGTTTGATTCCTGTGGATTCCAATTAGCCATTAATGCTGATTGTTACCCTTTGTTAGACTGCAATAGTTTGAGATGTGCTGGTTACGCTCAACTTCTTCATTTACAGTATGGCTATAAAACTGTCCCCAACTGAATCAATCTTGCCAATATGTTGCAGTTGTGGCCAGTGCTCTTCAGTGTCAGTGGGGAAAGTTTGGTGACAACTGTGAACGAAACTGCTCCTGCCACTGCGCCCTCGTGAAAAACAGTACGGCAAAACATTGCAGGAAATCAACTGGAGAGTGCTCAGAGGGGTGTATTCCTGGGTCGTATGGTATAGATTGCACGAAAAACTGCAGTGAAAACTGTCTCAACAAGATATGTAATCAACATAACGGTCACTGCACCCAAGGCTGCATAGAAAACTACAAAGGAGTTTTCTGTAACATTTCCAAAGGTAGGGCATATACCATATTGTCAAAAACGGTTAATGCTAACACTCATCGGTACATTAACATGTTTATGACTGACGACTGCGGCAAATTACACCCTTTTGTATTCGAATGCTTTGCATACCTTCAGACACTTTTCAGAAATTTCTTGACTTCATTTTATGAAACCGTCCTCTTTTAAGTATGGGAAACGTTGTTTTGACACACGGACTAGTAATGTCAAATGTCATATACTTGGGCGAGGCCAAAATCTGAGAAAGTTATAAGAGACCTATTTCTGAAGATTGAGGTCACAACCAAATTGTGTTTGCAATTATTATTAAAATGCATTTTCTCAAAGCCATCGTATGGACGGAAGGTGTTGAATCAATATGTATGCCAAGTGAGGGCAATTAATAATGTTAGTGTAGGTCACAGATCACTATCGAAGAGTAGCATATATTCTCTTCTTTTACAACACTAACTCTAGAAGTACTTACTATAATACCCGGGACTAAATATATTTTTCATGAGCCAGGTATTCTCCAAAAAGGAAGAACATGGTTCTGTCTTGTATTGCTGTTGGCACATCATATTTCCCCAATATTGTTGACCGAGAAGTGTCAATTTCGTTAGGATTTATCTGGAGGCATGGATCTTTCTGCTGTGAAGATGTCTTGCTTTACAAATGCATTATTCTGAATTGAGGTCGGTGAAGCTTGGGTGAATGAATGAATGTGAACTTTTATTTATCTTAACACTACATATACCACGTGTTTTCCAACCAGAAGTCATTGTCGACTGGAGGCTCGGCTGACTTCTTCATACATATTTAGTTATTGTCAATAGAAACATAGAGTTGGAAACATAGAGTTTATCTATGTGCATTATGAAAGTGAATGTCAAAGGAGCCGTGGGGATATCGGTACTGACTATAGGTATCCAGCAACCAATGTTTGATTCACAAAAACTGTAATTATATGTTATCGTTAAGAAACAAAAGAAATTGCATGTTTTTTTACACGAATTGTGTTGAATATGTCTAAATGCGGACAGAATTCTCCACCAGATTTCAGTAATCCAGACACCTGTACCAGGAATTCAGCTCAACCTACCTCGGTCGTGATCCTTGGAAGCTGTCTTGGTTTTTCAGTGCTGTTGAATATCATTCTTTGTGTGTGAGTATATCTTTCTTATTCCAATCACAATGGGTATCATAGCAATGAGCTTTACCGATGATTACTGAAAATATTCCATACTGTTTGGAATATACACGCTATGTGTCATCGTTATTTGCCAAACAGTTTCCATGTAGGAAAATGATAAGCATGCTTCACTTACAACAAATTCCCTTTTCTGGGAGCCTTTTGAATTCATCTCACGGCTGCTCCGGGCCCCTCCCAAACCCAGTATTATCGTAGTTGTTGTGACATGTGTGACCTGAATGGTTGTCATTTCATATGTACCCATGAACCATTCCCCAGACTACAACCACTGGATTTCCACACCGAAAATTGAAATATTTAAAGGCAATGACCTCATGGACGGAATACTGCTCAGCAGCGGTATCGTTGAACTACATCTTGTGCCGTCATCCATTCACAGCTCTTTTGCCTTTTTGAGACGGGATAACCATCCACTCGTTCTCTCATTACGTAGCTTTGTTATGTTATATACAGAAATATCATCATAATTTCCATAACTGAAATATCTTAGATGAACTGAGAAAATTCCATTGAAATATTTTCAGGCGATGTTGTGTGGTGTCGTTTAGAAGAAGACTGAAAACAAGTAAGGGAATACGTCAACACCTTTGTCATAACGCAACCGGCAAACTTGGATGAATATCCCTTGAAATTATACAAGATCTGATATTTGATTTTTTTTTTTTCAAAACTTACTGAGGACTAACTGATGAATATGACACAAACCTCTAAATATCCAGCTGTCCAAAACAGTCTATCCTACTCGTTAGGGTACACCAATCGGATTGGGTGGTCGGACAAGTATAACGGCGGTGTTGATTACCGTTTAAAATAATAACAATTGAGAGTCTGGTGAGAAGTGCCCATCTTTTGTGCAAGCCACTGTTACATTGCGGAAATATTGCTGAATGCGGCTTGACACAACAAAACAGAAGTCGCAGATTACTTTTTAAAGCAAGTAATAATTTATGTTTGGTCACATTCTAACACAGCAATATAGGGAAATATAATATTTCCTGTGGTTTATAACATGTTAGCAAATATATTTTGAGACAATGGTTATATTTTGTATTTGTTTATTAAATCTGACAAAGACTTATGGTCAAAAAGAATATATGTCACAAATGCTAACCATTGGAGCAAGGTGGGAACATGCATTCAAGGCTTCAGTTTTGTTGGATCAATGAGTTCTGCAGAGAAACCATTCTCTTTACTTGGTAGTAAATTTAATGAATCAGTGGAGATGTGTATCAAGTTCGTGTCCCATATGTGACGATATGATTACCATCAGTATAACATGTTTACCATATGTTGCAGGTAAAGGGAGACGGAACCCAAATAAGGAGTCGGAAAATCAGAAACACGAACATTGTATACCTTTACAAGTATGTGATTCTTTAATTCATCAGAAATGAATGTAAAAGTGTGCTATAGGTTCTTTAAATTAAGTGGTCTGATCCTCTTGAAAGCTAAAACGATTGATAATTCACGTCAGCCAAACTGTATTTTGACTTCATAGCATTCATATTTCAAGACATCGGCAGGTTCAACATATTTACAGCTAGTTTGCCTTTTACACCAAATGGAATCAGATTCGATGAAAGCCCGAAATGCAGAGGATACAACATGAGCTACCAATGTTATACTGAAGATCACGACTGAATATTATTTATCATTCTTCACTCCAGCCACAGATATTGCCAAGAGTTGTAAAAGATGTCTAACTAAATCGTGCTCTGTAGATATCATGTCCACGTGGCTTCTGAAACAGTTATCTGATGAAGTTCCACCAGTGTTTACGAAGATGGTCAATCAAGAGGGAAGTTCCAGGATCTGGCAAGCAAGCACCAGTCACTCTGTCGGTTGCTGTCAAACCTTCCATTTCTTTCAAAGCTGGTGAAACATGCTGTTTTAGCTCTTCTTCAAAAACGTATGAACATCATCAACATAAATGAAACTTTGCAATCCGCAAGGTCTTAGGACCTGTGCTGTTTAATACATACACGTTACCTGTAAGAGATTTTCCCATAAGGCATGGACTATCTATTCTTCCATATATATGCAAATGTTGCATAGTTGTACCTTGGCTTCAGAACTCTGGTTCGACCATTAGACATATAGGCTATAATGCTCCACGTGTAGACTAACCTCCTAAAGGTAAACGACGCATATCAGTTTGAGACAATGTTCCCCAGAATAGTATGACCCACTTTTCAAATCGAAAGAGTGCACTGTCAATGCAAGTGACATTGGGAGTTACCTTCCAATCTACTCTGAGGCCTGAGAGTTCAGTTACTATATACTATAGTCAATTTTAATGAGATAAATCCCACGCATACACACGATTTCTTAAAGAGTTCAATAGTCCAAAAGATAACTGCTAGCCGCCATTTTGGGAAGAGGTTGTGTTCATTGTTCCAAAATGTCTTGTATTTTTCTAAAATAATGTATTTTTTGTCTTTTCATGAACCTGTAAATCACTATTTCAGAAAATTTTAGGTGTGTAATGAATGGTAAAACTAAAAATTGAAGGGAAAAACCTGAAAATAGCATGTCAAATTTTATGTACTGGGCATGGGCACAAGATACAAAATTTGAGGTGCCTCAATATCTGAAATTATTTCGGACATGTTATTTTATATGATGGCCTCTTTTGGTGCTTAGTATCATATACAATGATTGTCCGGGATCAAGTCCAACAAAAAGCCTCTGCAAAGCCTTATTTCACAAATAAGGCTTTGGTCGGACCCTTAGCTCTTGCTACCATTGTATCTACTACTTTTGATCCCCTGTTGATTTCCCGCCCACACGTGGCACTACTGTGACACTAATATACCTATAGAAAGATAGAAAGGTTCTAAAAAGTAGTAAAATGTCCCCGGCAGCCACAATTCCCCAAGGGTGAAATCGAAAGATGATGTTGCGCCTTTTCCCAAGGGGAATTGCGTCGGCTACCTTTCTCTCGCCATGAGAGTGCCCCACTCAGCTAAGTCCTTTTCAGCGACCCAACTGATATGGTCTTGATTCCTTACCGAAACACCTCACATCACACAAAGTTGCACCGATTGAGCTACCGGGGACTTAGCTGGAGTAGCTCGGTTTAACGGGTCTATCCTGGGATTACATCATTGCATCATCGCCCCACGTGCGGCTATGCCGTGTTGACAGGAGGTAACATTGTGCCATATGGTACGATCAATAATTCCTGTCTAACGAGCGCTCTACCTGGCCCATCCCTCAAGTAGTACAAGTTAGGTTCGTCTGCTTTCATGTCCACTTTATCTATGTTGTAAGTTTTGACTGACCATATAGGATCGGTGGCTCGCTTACGGCTATCACCCTCGTGTTCCCCCGGCTGGTATAGATACCTCACTAGGGCCCTATCTGGTATCTGTTTCTCTTTCCCATGCAATGGAGCAGCCGACTCTGCCACTATTGATTTTAGTTTGATAGCGTCTGCCGGTTTCTTGCCGGTGAGACGGCTGACTTCATGGTTGATTGCCGACACCACCTTAGGTAACCTCACGACCCATTCAGTCGATCGCTTCCCCGGGATGGCGATCTCCCTAGCATACTGATGTCCGAATAAGCGCTCAGCCAAAGTCCTATTAAATCTCTCAACTATGGCTTGGCTGCGATGGGCTCCGGCCGTGCCACGCCTGACCTTTGTATTGTGTTTGGCTAGCAGTTGTGACACAACACCCATGAACTCCCGCCCGGGGTCAACTTGCAGCTCTGTTGGCCACGTCAGTGGACTGCGTTTGTATATACGTTTGAATCCTCTGGCTACCTGGGCAGAGTCTTTCGTTGTCAAGGGTTCGGCTTCCTTGTAGCGACTGGCCACATCCACGATGGTTAAGGTATACTTGTACCTCTTATCGTGGGGTAGGAACAGTAGGTCTGCCTGGTGAACGCTATTGGGTATGTTAATACTAAACTTCCTTTAGCACGTAGTGTGGTGGCGGTAAATAGATCTGCCATAGGGCTTGTTTTTCAAGCCACGCTTTGGCCCCCCCCGGGTGTACTCGCGCCATTTTAGCCAGCTTATGGAAAGCGCTAGCTCCTTTACAGTACCCACATGGGCTATAGTAAATAGCCTCAAACTTTCTCTGGTTCCGTGACATGTCGCCCCGACAGGGTATATCCTGTTTATATATACACCTATGTTCTTGGTTCAATTTTCTCATGCCCGTATGCGTACGTGTTTATCCCATCAATAGCTATCCAACGTTTAGTGTCCATCGGCGACAGGGACGTCTTGTTTATAGTCAGTCCGTATATCCTATGGCCATCACTTCTAAGTGTGTTCATTTTATGTCTAAAGGTACGGGTCTTGAACAGGGCTTCCTTGAATCTGGCGTGTTTGATGTGTTGTTTCACCACGTACTTCTTAACACCTTTCGCCTTCCGGATCTCACCATTGTCGGCTTTCAGTATGGAGTACATCTTAGGCCTCAACCCTATGTTCTCGGCTATGGGCGTGCCAGCACACTCGTCCTTCATCTTACCTAGGACCTTTTTATTTACCGTGCTGTGTATGGCATGGTCCTTGGGGTAGTCGCTGGTGTCATACAGATCGAGGCGTTTCTTCATGTCCTCGTACACATCCTCGGTTCGAATCTCCATCAGCAGGGAATCCGTGTCAGTGTACAGCACTTCACACCTGTCGTCGTACTGTTTCTTAAGCTTGTTGTAGTAAAAGTCGTACATCAGGTGTTTGGATAAATCAAGGATGCTCATCCCCAAGTAAACAGGCCAGTTGAATTTTATGTGGCTTTTCTTCATGTATAGGGCAACTAGGTCATCGGTGAATATCTTGCTACGGTTGAATGCCGGACTGGTTATCAGTCTCCTGAGCTTGTCTTCCTCATTCGACCGAACCAGCTTCACGGTCACACGTTTCTTCAGGTTCTCCATAGTCTTACCAAACACCGAATTGTTCATGAGCTTATAGAGATTTTTCTCAAAGTCACTGGTGGCAAGCTTTCGGAGGTCTGTGTTCATTCTGATGTATGGCTCCATCCATGGGCTCTGGTTGAACATGAGCACCCTGTGTATTTTGGTCAGCCTCATACCCAACGACAGGTACAGCTGTAGGTTGCGATAGTGAACGATGTACTTGGTCTTATTCATTAAGTTGGGCACAAGTTTTTCAACGTCTGCCACCCGCCCACCTAATAAGTTATGTTGGTACTCAGACATCCAGTCTGGGTTAACCCTCATACGTTCGGGGGCCAGGGGGTAGCTGTTGTGTGATGTGTGTAATGCCTTGGTGTATTCTAAGTCAACCTCGAGGACATAACCTTTGTTCGAATCTGGTGCGATGCTCATAACATCCATGGGTGACGCCCATTCGAATCCCCCTGTGGGTAGATACTGGCTCATGGCCCAGCCATACAGGTTGTTGGCATCGAGGTAGAGAATGTGATTAGTTGGCTTGCTTGGGTCGTAGCCCTTCACGTATTGATTATTTGCTTTCGTGTATCGTTTGGTTGCCATGGAGATCCCACCTCGCAAGCCTTTCTCAATGAATAGGTGCATGTCATAATCTGTAAGCAATTCCAACTTATCTCTGGTCTTTTTAAGCAAGGCATCCCACGACAGACCTGGGCTGGTGTAATACCATGCAGGGTCGAGTTTATACTGCTTGAAACATGTCCGCCTAAACGTCTCAAACACGTCGGCTAACAGCAGTACATCTGTCCTCAAGTACAGGTCGTGGTAGTCACCAAGATTCTTACAACCCTGTTTATTCCATACATTAATAGCATGTGAGTAATCATCTTGGGATATTTCCGAGTCGCTCAGATTGCTGTAAAATTCTCTGATGGGGTGTAGTCTGGTCTCGGCGAACTTGGCCCAACCATCTATGTACTCATAGGGGTACACACCCTTCCTCATCAGCAGGGGTCCAGTCTCGGCGTCTGTGTATCGATCGGTAATAGGGAAGGTATCGTTGGCCGTGACCAGACTGTCTAGTGACGACAGGAGGAACTGTACCGAGTCGATGAACCTCAGACCATTCAAGCTGAAGGAGATGTATCTCTCCATGTTGTTGGGGATGCACGTAAGGTTGCCGTCGACTTTCGCGATGGCCTGCATGATCAAGTGAGAATCGTACCCTCTCAAGTTGTGAAAGACCACGGGGATGTTTATTGTCTTAGGGTTGATTCTAAGCTTGAGGTTACATGCGCTGTGAGCGGCACCTCTATACTTACCTGTTATGTGACAGTGATCTCTCACCGAATCACCGTTAAGTGGTGAGTCACACACGTGACAATTAGTGCTACAGGCGTGAGCTAATCGGTCGGCTAGGGTCATACGCTCTATTCTGCCATAATAGTTCTACAAGCTGTGGCTTCCTCATACGGGAATATCCACCTAA